GGCTGTAATCCTAGCACTCTTGGGAGGCCGTGGTGGGAGTGATCGCTTGAGGTCAGGAGTTTCAACCCACCTGAGCAAGAGCGAGACCCTGTCTCTACTAAAAATAGAAAGAATTAGCCGGACAACTAAAAAAATATAGAAAAATTAGCCGGGCATGGTGGCGACATGCCTGTAGCCCAGCTACTCCTGAGCAGCAGGATTGCTTGAGCCCAAGAGTTTGAGGTTGCTGTGAGTTAGCCCTGGCAACAGCGAAACTCTGTCTCAGAAACAAAAACAAACAAAAAAACCCATAGCATTAACCTTATGTAGTAGAAAAGCTAACTTCTCCCAGTAGCATGTGGAGACAATTTCATGAGTATATGCGACACTTTTCTTCCTCCACAGTCAAACCTAATCGTTTTCTCCTTGAGTATCGTGTAATCAGCCCTTGGGCAAGTGGAGAAGTTAAGAATATATATATTTGTCTGCCTATTGCAGCTCTCTCCTCTTTCCAACACTCCACCCCAATTGTTAAATGATTATGGAATGTTATTATTGATTGATTTAATCTCCCCATACAGAGATGGTCAAATTACCTTCCTTTTCTTTTTTGGTGAGACAACAGAGCCTTGCTCTGTTGCCCGAACTAGAGTGCAGTGGAGTCATCATAGTTTACTGCAACCTCCAACTCCTGGGCTCAAGCCATCCTCCCTGCCTCAGCCTCCAGAGTAGCTGAGACTATAGGCATGTGCCACCATGCCTGGCTAATTTTTTCTTTTTTAGTAGAGAATGGAATATAGCTCTTGTTCAGGCTAATCTTGAACTCCCGACTTCAAGCAGTCTCCTCACCTTGGCCTCCCAGAGTGCTAGGATTACAGGTGTGAGTCTTTTATGCTTTCTAATTATGAGATTGCATGAGTTTACCACCCCCTGTCTCCCCTCTTTGATGAGTGTTCGACACTTGGTACATATGGAATTTAACATAACCAGTAGAAGTTTTAGAAAGATACCTTGCACTCATTGTCGTTCAGTTCTTTGCTTTTGACTCATCCTGACTTTATAAGACAAATCTTTCACCACTTACATACAATGTAAAGAAGTGTGTCAGATTTTGAAAGGCAAGGATAGTAAGCGTTCTATTGTTCATTCCTTTTGGTTGTGCTCCGCTGAGAAATAGAGGGAAAAGATCCTGAGCTCTGAGTCATAGAACAGGTTCAAATACCAGCTCTCTTTATCACTTCCTGATTATAAGCATGGACCTGTGTGGACATAATATTTAAAAGTATAATAATTTCAGCTCCACAAAGTTGTTATAAAATTAAAACTCTGTCAATCAAAAGCACCCAGCACAGTTTCTGCCATAGAAAATGCACAATCATGTTAACTATTTTTATGTGTTATTAAGGCATCCACTAATGTTCAATTAAAGGTAATATGTCTTTGCAAAATGAGGAATAACACAGAGGTGAACAATATAGTCTACAACCTCATATAAGGTTATTTTTGAACTTTTTCTTTTTTTCTATGTAAGTTTCTAATAAAGCAGATCTTGCTGAACTGATTTTTTTCCATTTGTCATTTGCTGGAGGTTATAACTAGCAGTTTGAATAGGATATAGTTTTCGGAGGAGGAGAAGTTCATAGAGGGTGCTGTTCTTCCACTTATCTGAGTGACCTATTTTTGAGAAATTAAAAAGAAAACCCTTAGGTATTCAAGATAAAAACTGTATTGAGTAACTACTTAAGGTTCCTGTCTTTAAAGTATGAAAATAAAGTACTGTGCAGTTAAAAGATTTTTTAATCCCATGCAAGCTCAAGATACACTTTCTTTTTAATTCTATGAAAGATAGTGAATGTTCATAGTTAGTTTCTAATTGCATGCAGATCTTTAATTTTTTTGTCAGCCTTATTGCCTTAATCTGATATTTAGCACCTTCAAAAATGTTCAAGTCAATAAACAGAAAAAATATCTTTTATTGGTTCTGTTATAAGATTTGCTCATTTAACCTTAGTGAGCCTCCTTAAAATAGGAATGATGAGATAACAGAAATCCCTATAACTTCCAAAGCTTGTACATAGAGAAGGGGAGAATTAACTCAGTAACAGCAATGCCTATCATTAATCAGGTAGTATTTTGGGATATTGTAGTGGTTTTAATTAACTAAGTCATGTTATTTAGTAGTATGGATAATTCAGAAGTGGGTGTTTTAAGAAACCTAATTTCAGTACTTAAAAAATATAAAGAGCCAGGCCGGTGGCTCATGCCTGTAATCCTAGCACTCTGGGAAACTGAGGCGCAAGGATCACTCAAGGCCAGGAGTTCAAGATCAGCCTGAGCAAGAGGGAGACCCTGTCTCTACTAAAATAAAAAGAAATTAATTGGCAACTAAAAATATATAGAAAAAATTAGCTGGCATGGTGGCCCATACCTGTAGTCCCAGCTACTCAAAAGCTCAAGGAGGATCACTTGAGCAGGAGTTTGAGGTTGCTGTGAGCTAGGCTGATGCCATGGCACTCACTCACCCTGGGCAAAAAGTGATACTCTGTCTCAAAAGAAAAAAAGGAAAAATTTATAAACATTAAGATAGAAAGAGGCAGATATTAGTAACTCTGCTTTATAGATGGAGAAATTGATACGAAGTTCAAACAATAATTTGAACTTATATAAAAGGACACACTGTTAAAAGGGACTCATATCAGTTTTTATTGGTAATTTTTTCTTCTAGAAAATTAAGGTTCATTGTTGAGAAGATGATCTTGGAAGCATGGCCTATGATTTTAACTTATTGAATAAAAAATATAGATAAATTGAACAAATAAATTTTGTATCCCAATACAAATTTTGTATTTTGTATCCAAATACAATATAAACTGTAAAATTTCAACATAGGCAACTGATTTATAGACCTACCTATCTGTGAGGTATTGGCAGTGCTGCTTTGAAAGAGGTTTATAGGCTAGGCAAGGTCTCACACCTATAATCCTAGCACTCTGGGAAGCCCAAGCGGGGGATCACTTGAGCTCAGGAGTTTGAGACCAGCCTTCGCAAGAGTGAGACCCATCTGTACTAAAATAGTAAAAATTAGCCAGAGTGTAGTGATGTATGCTAGTACCCAGCTCACTTGGGAGGCCAAGGCAAAAAGATCACTTGAGCTTAGGAGTTTGAGACTAGCCTGAGCAAGAATGAAGACCCCATCTGTACTAAAAATAGTAAAAGTTAGCCAGGTGTGGTGGTACATGCTAGTAGTCCCAGCTACTTGGGTGGCCACAGCAAAAGGATCACTTGAGCCCAGGAGTTTGATTTTGCTGTGAGCTAGGCTGAGGCACTCTAGTCCAGGTGACATAGTGAGAGTCTTCTCGCAAAAAAAAAAAAAAAAAAGAGGAAAAAAGAAAGCAGTTTATAGCTCCCTGTGTATGGAATGGATATATGGATGAGTATGTATGGAAGCTAAAGTGAGACATATTTTATAAGAACATATAGCTGCCAGAGCTGAAAATGGTAAAATGGTTTTCCTTAGAATATAGTTTTCTGTATTCTGTTTGTCATAGACTGCCAGCTCGAATGCATTGAAAGGATTAGAGTCTGATAGCAGTTTTAATGATGTCGTCTAATCCTAAAATCATAAGGTTAACTAAGTGTACAGTGTATTCTTAAAGAGGGATAGAGAAAAAGGAATTGCTAGGAAGATTCTTTACAAAAAGAAAGATATGTTAATGGACTTTTTTCTCCCCCCAAATAACAGATCTTTTCCTATTTTTTGTACAATACTTTTTCATTCTAATAATTTCCTTCTGTTGTAAAATAGCATTTCTATGTATTTTCCAAGGAACATAATAACTTTATTAAAGGCCCTTCTGCCTTTTGGGTTTCGCTAGTTATAAGATAGAATGTATTTACCACAATTATTATTCTAAAAATTTGGAATTGTGCCTTCAAGCAGTGATAAGATGAGAAGAAAAAGCTTTACTTAGATAGACTTTGGAGCAAAATAGTGAAGTATGACCTACTTGATTATAGGCTCCTTCTTTGTACACTTAAGCCACCTTTTGGTTTTTCCAAGTTACCAAATTATTTTTATTCACGAGTTGTAATTCCCTTCATTTAGCTCCTTTTTATTCACTGGTTTCCATGATCTGCCAGTCCACTTTTAAAATAGCCGCCAATTGACAGTGCTGCTTTGTTGTTCTTCCCAGCTACTCTAGGGCTCCTGCCGATGATCTCAAATGCAGGAGCAGCAGAGGTGCTTTGAGAGAGAGAGAACACAATGTCAAAGAGTCCAGCGGGGGACCAGCAGATTGTGGGAAACCATGTGACTGTGTGATTCACATCTCCAAGGAGAGAGAACCGGTTGTTTCTGTGTCTAGATCTACCCTGTTATGAGGATAATACCATCAATAATGTAATTTTAATTGCCTTGATGCTTTGACGCTGGCTTAAAAAAATAAAACTCAGCAGTGAAGTTACTGGTCATGTATAAGATTCAGTAAAACAGAATTTGATGACATTTAAATCAGGACAAAATAAGGACTAGGAGTTTCAAACTCTGATGTTTTAGGCATTAGGGGTTGGTAACTTGTGTGTGTGTTTTCATATATGTGTGTGTGCGTGCGCGTGTGTGTATGTGTGTGTGTATAGAGAGAGTCAGTAAAATAGTCAACTCAATTCTTTTGCCACCAACCTAAGATGACGTGATGCTATTTGGTTTGTATATTATTACTTCTAATAGTAAAACTCTTAAAAAGCTCACTTGAATAAAGCCATACTTAAATAATTAGAAACCCATTACAAAATTTCAAATTTTGACTTTAGGACATTGTTGCCAAGGGTCAAATCTTACCATGGATTAATTTCTTATTCTCTTTGTTACACAGTTGCTAATGAACTATAATTTCCTAATATGTTTTTGCATATATTTAGATCAAGGAATTTTCTTCAGTCCTTAGAACATATAAGAGAGAAAGTCGGTAACATTAATGTTAGGAGAGCATAACATGGTCCTTTCTTTTAATCTATAATTCTAGGACGACATAGACAGCCTAAACCCAGTTCTCAGGGACAACCCGCAGCTTCATGAGGAAGTGAAAGTCTGGGTAAAGGAACAAAAGGTTCAGGAGATTTTTATGCAAGGTAACTATTTTGAAGTTATGCATTAATTTTTTTGGATCTAGGCAACTTATTATATTTGTCTTTGGTTGTTCAATTATTTGCAATATAAATCAAGATTTAGTCTAATATTTTGAGTTATATATGGTCCAGGGAAAATAATAGCAGAATTATAATTTCAATAGTTTCTAATTTCACTAGTTTACTAACTTATTTGAGCTAACATGCCTAGCATAAAGTTATAGTCACCCAAGTGCTTTGTTGATAGAAAAAAATTCATATTATGGAATGTGCTAGTCAGAGAAAGAAGCATTGTTTTCAGTAGAGGGCTGCCCAAAGCCATGATCGATTACCTTTGAAGAATGTTGTTAGTATCAGAAAAAAGTGGACTTTTTCAGTGCACTTTTTTCAGCAGTTTACCAGTCTTAGTTTTGTTTCCCTTGTTTACTAAGTTACAGGTTTATCTACCACATATGACCCTCAAACTGGTGAGGTTTTATAATTCTTAGCAATTCCCTTTTCTATCAGTGCAATCATATATTATAAATACAAGCTTTTTGTGACATCGAATTGAAATTGAGATGGTATGGCATAAACTGGTGATATGTTGCTGAACATTTTTAAGAATGAAAGTTTGTTAAATTCCTGTATTTATCTCAACCCTCAACTTCCATGCCATTAAGCATTAATAGATAATCTCAATAGTTGTGACTATTGCTTTATAGGGTTATGTACAGGAGCAGATCATTTACTTAGTAAATTCTTCTTAAGCTAAATATTCTTTAAACTTTACTATGGAGAATTTCAAACATACATACAAATAGAATATTTCAGTGAACTTCCATCTTTCTATCTCCCTCCCCCAACAACTATTAATCCTTGCCTGATTCTGCCCTATCCATATCCCCTTTTATGTATATCAAGTTTTAGACTTCACCTCTTTGTATTAATTTTTTAAACAAAGCTGTCACACCACTATTATGCCAAATAATTAATAGTTCTGTAATATCAAATACTGGATAGTTGGTTCAAATTTCCATTTGTGTCGTAAATGATTCAAACAGGCTTTTTTTTTTTTTTTTTGAGACAGAGTCTCACTTTGTTGCCCAGGCTAGAGTGAGTGCCATGGCGTCAGCCTAACTCACAGCAACCTCAAACTCCTGGGCTCAGGCGATCCTCCTGCCTCAGCCTCCGAGTAGCTGGGACTACAGGCATGCGCCACCAGGCTCGGCTAATTTTTTCTTTATATATTAGTTGGCCAATTAATTTCTTTCTATTTATAGTAGAGACGGGGTCTCGCTCTTGTTCAGGCTGGTTTTGAACTCCTGACCTCAAGCAATCCGCCTGCCTCGGCGTCCCAGAGAGCTAGGATTACAGGCGTGAGCCACCGCGCCTGGCCTAGGTTTTGCTTTTTAAAAATCAAAAGTCTAATAGTCTATGCATTGTGATAGTTTGGTATGTCCCCTTCATCACTCTTCCCCCTGCCCTCCTTTCCTTACAATTTATTTGTCGAAGAAACTAGGCTGATTTTTAGTTTTGTTTCTGTGTTGTATACTTAGAGGAGAAAAAGTGCAGGCAGTATAGTCCCTATCCATTCTAGGCAGAATTGTGTGAGGAACAAGCAGTATAGATGGTTTGTTAGTGGGAATGGAAAATCGATCATATTTGGAGTTATTCTATAAGCGTTTTCTATATTATTTAGAACAAATAATATGGAATCTTAATCTGTCCATAGTTGGAAAAGACTGAAGTTTGTATAATGGATTATGGCTAGTAAATAGTGTTTACCTATCACCTCCTTTAAATTATAACCAGTCAACATCTTCATTTTTCTCTAGATGAATGTATTAATTTCCAGGAGATAGGTAATAAATACTTTTATAGATGTGTTAAATAATTTGTATATTTTAGGCTGATATTGGCATAAGTTTTTTTTAAACTGGCAGATATGTATTGAACCGTTAATTTGGTATATTGAATCAATCTATTATAACTGTAGAAGAAAGAACATCAGCCTAGGAATCAGAAATATAAATTCAGTCCCAGCTCTTTGATTTAAACATTTACTTAGTCTATCAATCTCACTTTCTTCATTTTTATAAAAGGCATAACAATACTAAAGTTAGAAAGGATTAAATAAGCACATGGAAGTTTTGAAAGCACTTTGTAAATTGTTTATGTATAATACTGTTACTAAGGTACAGGAGTTTTTTCACTTCACAGTTCTTGTTAAACTTTAAAGTACTTGATCATTTTAGTACCTATGAATTGAAAATAATTTTCATCTCCATTATCCTCTTCCATGGAGTCATTTTTTTTTATTAGGTATATTTGAATATACACAGATATGTATCATTTAATATTGAAACTTTGCTCATTTTCTAAAAGCTGTCTATGTATAAGGATATAGATAACCTTTGAAAAAGTAAAGTGCATTTTACCCAAAAGTACACCATATTTCTTGTAAAAAATTCTTAGTGCTATCTTTATAAATTCAATTATCAATCTCTTCATGTTCTAAGACTTTTAGCATTTTTTTCTAGCTGTCTCAGAGGGTTCAAAATTTCGCTGCTTATGGTAACATTTTGGCATCTAAAAGACTTAGACATCAAGTTCCTGGTTACCTAGGAACTTTCCATTTCAACCATGTAGTCATCTACCCCACTCTTACTAAGGTAGCTGTATAACCTCACTATATTCTAGACCATTATAACTTCACATTTTGTACTGTTTGCTTATTAACTCATGATCCCAGAAGCATAAAACTATTTCATCTCCATTGAATCAGGAAATATGTATGTCTAGTATGTCGTGTAATAATAACTTCAGAATGATCTGTTCCAAAGGATATTTACTTGTCTTCTAAAACACTTTTTTAAAAACTGATATTTGGGTATGATATTATTCATCTATCAAATAGCTCATGTTTCTCTTAAAAGGTAGTTCTTAAAGGAAAATGTCTCCATTTGAGATATCCCTATTTCTTGTGTTTCTTTTAAAGGTCCTTATTCCTTAAATGGATACAGAGTGAGAGTGTATAGACAAGACTCTGCCACCCAGTGGTTTACTGGCATAATTACTCATCATGATCTCTTCACCCGCACCATGATCGTTATGAATGATCAGGTAAATAGTTCAACTAATATTTTTGTAGAGATTTTTATAGTTCATATAGTCCATGCCAAAAAAAAATGCATCACGAGTTTGATACTAAATATGTTCAATCTTTAGGATTTTTAGTTATATAATTGTAATAAATTTAAATGCAACTGATGTTACATGGAGGTCATTTCAGGTCACAGGGAGATAGTGATGCCAGGTTTATTTCAACACTAATAAAATCAATCCCTGAAATAGAGGCATTAGACTCTCTTAATTGATTAGTCGTCTTTTTTTTTTTTAATCCTTAGGTTAGCTAAAATTTTCTTTCTCGAAGTCTCAGTTCTGTCTCTCTAATAATAAAAGTATTTCCCAAATGGTTTCTTTTCACTAATGAAAACTTTTAATGCACACTTAGTTCTCACATCAAATTTCAGCCGTGGTATGCTCACTTAAGTTTTATGGCAAGTCTTGAAATGTGGAAAAAAAAAATGTTCACTTTTAAATGTCCACTTTTTTGTTTTTGTGGAAAACAGAGATATTTACACCTTTGTGCCTGATTAGATTCTGAAGTGTATCCAATAGAGCCCTTTTATAAACAATTCAAATACTTTGGTTAAAATTTTAGTCAAAATGCTAAGTAAATTGTATTTTTTCCTTAAAAGGCGACAATATTGCCTTGAATTTTTATAATAGTTTTCTTTAAAAATTTGCACAATTTTTGTCTTTTTTCTTCTTCCTGGATTCTACCTTTTAATTTTATCTTAGAGCTGCTTTTTGGAAATTACTTCATATTTTTAAAATACATATTATAACTTGGCATCCATACTTTTTTTTTTTATAGTATCACTGCCTGTTGGCATCTGTAGTCTTAATTAATTCTTATCCTTGTTTTTCAAGGTGAACTTACAGTGGATATTTTTGCTTTTAATTCTTGGTTAGCAACTGAAACAGTTTCAGAAGATTAAAAAGGTAATTTTATCATTAGTGATTAGAATAGATGATTGTAAGTCTGATAGTATCTTATAAAGTAAGGATCCCAACTGATTGGTAAATATCTCTGCTAAGTGAAGAAATTGTACCAAATAGCACATTGGTTAGCTCATTGGCTTTAATTTTTGTTTTTGTTTTGTGTCATGGATTAGGTACTAGAACCACAGAATGTCGATCCTTCTATGGTTCAAATGACCTTTCTAGATGATGTTGTTCACTCTTTGTTAAAAGGTGAAAATATTGGCATTACATCACGTCGCAGGTCTCGTGCCAATCAAAATATCAACGCTGTTCACGTATGTATGTTAATAGGGGTACATTTTTGTAAAATATTTTTCCTTAGGCTACTTAGAACGAGGTAGTAAACAATCATTGTTAATTGGTTATTTTTAGGGTCATTATACACGTGCACAAGCAAATAGTCCCAGACCAGCAATGAATTCCCAAGCTGCTGTACCAAAACAGAATATACACCAGCAACAGCAACAAAGAAATATTCGTCCAAATAAGAGGAAGGGCTCAGATAGCAGTATACCAGATGAAGAGAAGATGAAGGAAGAAAAATACGATTACATATCACGAGGTAAGACCCGCTTCTGTTTTTTTTTAGGGAAATGAGAACAAAAATATATTTTAAGTATGTTTATTTAGTATTGATTATGAAAAATAAGACTGTTCTTTTCTTTTAATACTACAGAAAATCCTAAAGGTAAAAACAAACACTTGATGAATAAAAGAAGGAAACCTGAGGAGGATGAAAAGAAACTAAATATGAAAAGACTTCGAACTGACAATGTTTCAGACTTTTCTGAGAGCAGTGACTCAGAAAATTCAAATAAGAGAATAATAGATAATTCTTCAGAGCAGAAGCCAGAGAATGAATTGAAAAATAAAAATACTTCAAAGATAAATGGAGAAGAAGGAAAATCCCAGAATAATGAGAAGGCAGGAGAAGAGACAATGTTAGATAGTCAGCCTCCCTGGGATCAAATACAGGAAGATAAACATGAAGAAGCAGAGAAGTGGAAGTCTGTTGATACTCAGCTTCAAGAAAAAATGATTATCCATTCATCAGAACAGGTCACACTTTCTGATCATAATCCTAATGATTCACTTCCTCAGGAATGCAATATGGATAAAACACATACAGTGGAATTATTACCAAAGGAGAAGTTTGTATCCAGACCACCTACACCAAAATGTGTTATTGATATTACAAATGACACTAATTCAGAAAAGGTGGCTCAGGAAAACTCAAGTACCTTTGGCCTTCAGACACTTCAGAAAATGGATCCTAACATTAGTGATTCAAAATCAATTGCAAATGCAAAATACTCAGAAACAGCAAAACAAGATTCTGATCAGAGCTGGGTCAGTGATGTAGTTAAAGTGGACTTAACCCAGTCAAGTGTTACAAATGCTTCTTCAGGAAATGATCACCTGAATATGGAAAAAGAGAAAAACCAATATATCTCTTACATGTCATCTTTAAGTACAGTTTCTGTCATGGAAGATAAGGTGCATAAGCGAAGTCCGCCTCCAGAGACTATAAAATCTAAACTTAATACTTCAGCAGTAGAGGCTCATAAGACAAAATCCAATCCCTCACCTGAAGTTGTTAAACCCAAAATAACCCATTCTCCTGATTCTGTAAAGTCTAAGACCACTTATGGTAACAGCCAAACCACTGGTGAAAGAAGATTGGCAAGTAAGATAGAACATGAGTTATCAAGATGCAGTTTTCATCCAGTTCCTACTAGAGGCAGTACATTGGAAACTACAAAGAGCCCTCTAATCATTGATAAAAATGAGCATTTCACAGTTTACAGAGATCCTGCACTTATTGGGTCAGAAACAGGAGCTAATCACATTTCACCTTTCTTAAGCCAGCATCCTTTTCCTCTTCATTCCTCATCCCATAGAACCTGTTTGAATCCAGGTACCCATCACCCTGCCTTAACTCCTTCACCCCACTTACTTGCTGGATCATCTAGTCAAACACCATTACCTACCATTAACACTCACCCTCTGACTAGCGGGCCACACCATGCTGTTCATCACCCTCATTTACTTCCCACTGTGTTACCTGGAGTGCCTACTGCCTCTTTACTTGGTGGCCACCCACGACTAGAGAGTGCTCATGCCAGCAGCTTGAGCCACTTAGCACTAGCACACCAGCAACAGCAACAGTTACTACAGCACCAGTCACCTCATCTTCTTGGACAAGCTCATCCTTCTGCTTCATATAATCAGCTTGGACTATATCCAATTATTTGGCAGTATCCAAATGGAACACATGCATACTCGGGACTTGGTTTGCCTTCTTCTAAGTGGGTTCACCCAGAAAACACAGTTAATGCTGAAGCTTCGTTAAGGAGGGTAAGTTTACACTGTGGTGTGCCACATATCAATGTATGTATATTAGTCCATGTGGTTAAGTGCTTTTTTTTTTTTTTTTTTTTTGAGACAGAGTCTCACTTTGTTGCCCAGGCTAGAGTGAGTGCCGTGGCGTCAGCCTAGCTCACAGCAACCTCAAACTCCTGGGCTCAAGCGATCCTTCTGCCTCAGCCTCCCGAGTAGCTGGGACTACAGGCATGCACCACCATGCCCGGCTAATTTTTTTGTATATATATTAGTTGGCCAATTAATTTGTTTCTATTTATAGTAGAGACGGGGTCTCGCTCTTGCTCAGGTTGGTTTCGAACTCCTGAACTCAAAGGATCCGCCCGCCTCGGCCTCCCAGAGAGCTAGGATTACAGGCGTGAGCCACCGCGCCCGGCCAAGTGCTTTTTTAATATCTCATATTTTTAGGTCATTTTCTATTAATTATTTTTCCATGTGCTTAGTAACCTCAGCAGTGAAAGTGGAAATCTCAGAAAAGCCTATTTATAAAGAGTTAGTTTAAAGTAGTCAAACTATAATATTTATTTATTATAAATTAGGTTTCTTGTATATATCCATAATTATTTTTCTTAGCTAAATTTCTAGAGGTGAAATTTCTGGGTTAAAATTTATATTAAATCAAGGGTGTTTGTTTGATTTTTTTGTTGAGACAGGGTCTCTGTTACCTGGTCTGGAATGCAGTGGGAATGCAGTGGCATGATCATAGCTCACTACAACCTCAAATTCCTAGGCTCCAGTGATCCTTCTGCCTCAGTCTCCAAGTAGCTGGGACTATAGGTGTGAGCCACTGTGCCTAGCCAATAATTTGTTTTTAAAAAGTGATTTGATAATGTATATCAAAAACCTTACTATTTTGTGTCCAGGCACAGTGGCTCATGCCTGTAATCCTAGCACTTTGGGAGGCCGAGGCGGGAAAATCACTTGAGGCCAGGAGTTCAAGAGCAGCCTGAGCAATATAGCGAAGCCTTTGTCAGAACACTTTTTACATTGTAGTGCAGCAGGTCTTTAGAATTTTTCATCTTGTAAAATTGAAACTATATTTATTAAACAGTAAATCTCCCTTCCCCCAGCCTTTGGCAACTACCTTTCTACTTCCTGTTTCTATAATTTTGAGTACTTTAGATTTCATATGAGTGGAAATCATATAATATTTATTCATTTGTTACTGGCAATGTCCTTGAGGTTCATCCATGTTGTGGCATGTGATAGGATTTATCTGTCAGTGGACACTTGGGTTGCTTTCACCTCTTGGCTTTTGCTTATAATGCTACAGTGAACATGGGAGTTTTTAAAACCACCTTTTTTTTTTTGAGACAGTCTCACTCAGTTGCCTGGGCTATAGTGCCGTGGCGTCAGCCTAGCTCACAACAACCTCAAATTTCTGGGCTCAGGCGATCCTCCTGCCTCAGCCTCCCGAGTAGTTGGGACTACAAGCATGTGCCACCAGGCCAAGCTAATTTTTTCTATATATTTTTAGTTGTCCAGCTAATTTCTTTCTATTTATAGTAGAGGTGGAGTCTCCCTCTTGCTCAGGCTTGGTTTAAACTCCTGACCTTGAGCGATCTGCCCATCTCTTGGCCTCCCAGAGTATTAGGATTACAGGAGTGAGCCACTGAGCCTGGCCTACAACCTTCTTAATGTCATCTTTCTTGACAGCTTTTTGAAGTTGAGTGAGAAGACAATTGGGGGTGGTGATTTAGAAGACAATGCTAGTGACTTTCTCCTTTACTTCAGGGATAATATTTCTTACATATAGCATTGGAAATGCCTGTATAGATGCAAAGAGTAGTGTCCATCGTGCCAAAACTTTGTTAGAGAAACTGTTGTATTTTGGGTAGCAGTGATGACATACATACACTGTGGTCATGAGTTCTTCTGTCAGTTCAAAGTTATTGGATAGATGACTTTGATGGTAAGTGGTTGGTGGTACAAGATACAGTTCTAACAATTTTGAAAGGTATCTCTTGTGGCTTATTCCTATTGCAAACATTAACTCTTTTTTTTTTTTTTTTTTTTTTTTTTTGAGACAGAGTCTTGCTTTCTTGCCTAGGCTAGAGTGAGTGCCGTGGCGTCAGCCTAGCTCACAGCAACCTCAATCTCCTGGGCTCAAGCAATCCTCCTGCCTCAGCCTCCCGAGTAGCTGGGACTACAGGCATGTGCCACCATGCCCAGCTAATTAATTTCATATATATATATTAGTTGGCCAATTAATTTCTTTCTATTTTTATAGTAGAGACGGGGTCTCGCTCAGGCTAGTTTTGAACTCCTGACCTTGAGCAATCCGCCCGCCTCGGCCTCCCAGAGTGCTAGGATTACAAGCGTGAGCCACCGCGCCCGGCCAAACATTAACTCTTTTTAGCTCCACCTTCGTATGAGCTTCAGCATTTAGTAAAGTTACCAGTGATTGCCATAATTTATTCTACACTAGCATCACTGCATTTGATGTTGGCAAAATCTCAGTTTAGAGTCATGCCTCCGTTGATCACAAGCTTCTCGCCCATTCCCATTCTTGATGGTGTCATTGATCTTGCAGTAGGTACAATCATATTAGAATGTGTACATCAGATAGTCAAAGTCAGTGAAGAGTCATTAATCACTACATTATCCCCTTTGCCAGAATCGAAAGTAGGGATTGGTGATGCAGATGCCTAGTGCACTCACATTTTTACCCTTATTCTTCACTCTTGTGTCATGAATGTAGCTGTAGCTGCACAGGTAGAAGAGCACAAGGGAGCCAAAAGCTGGCTAATAGCTTTGAATCTTCTTTACTTCCAAACTCTGGAAAATAGACCTAAGTAACTGTTTAAAATGGCTTGGGTCTTTATTTGCCTTGGGAAGAAGATAGATAGATAGGCAGGCAGACAGGCTGGCTGGCTTAGGGAAGGAGTTTTACTCAGTATATGTCATATCTACATAGACTGAGACCATGACTGTCCAGCTTCTATGTTTATAGGAACATAAAATGTCTTAACTGCTCATAAATGTATTAAACTAAAAACAGATGTATTAGATTTTTATTTATTTTTAAGTATTTTAATTTTTTCTTTTTTTCTCAGCTTTAGGCAGTGGCTGTTCAACTACAGATTTTTATTTATGTAAAATTATAAAGGAATTAAATTTAAATAACATTTTGAGCAAAAAGGAAGATCTGTTACCCTAGTATTATAACCAAAAGTGAAGAAACAGTATAAGCACAACACGTTAGATTAGAAAATAATTTTGAATGTTACTTTACTGAGCAAAATCTTTTTGCCATAATTGATTGCAATTTAAGATTTCTGGATCTTGTAGAACTGAGGCCATTTGAAACATTGTATATTTGAATGATTCTTATGTGTGTATATATTTTTCTCATGTGAGGTTTATAGCTATAGTGTGTGTTTTTAATCGAATTTTATAACAGTATATCTTTTCTTTTTTTTTTTTTTTTTTTCTTGTGACAAGAGTCTCACTCTGTTGCCTAGGGTAGAGTGGAGTGGCATCATCACAGCTCACCACAACCTCTAACTCCTAGGCTCAAGCGCAGTATATGTTTATGATATCATATTATATTTGTATTATCATTTTGAGATATAAAATTTATTCCCTTTGTTAAAACCAGAGGCAATTGTATTTTTCTGGTATTTGACTATCATCCTATTGACAAACTCGTAAAACATGTTCTAGAAAAATGTCAGTGTAGAAACAATCCTTAACATGAAGTTAGATGGTTGTATGTCTCCACTCAGAGATTGCTGTCATCGCATATTCAGTTATGAGAAAGACACCTTATATTGACATATAAAACTAACTTTGTTAGTCTTCCACGCCTCCAAGTTTAATGGTCAAATGGGGAATACATTTGGGTTTTGAAAATGTAATTATCTGCCAATTGTCAGTAAATTGTTACATTGAAAAAGCTAATTATTTTTAATGACAAAAACTGGCAAATGAACTTGATTATAATTTCTCTTTCTGGTCAAATGTATATTAGGAATAACATTCTGTTTTTGCTATTTACAACATATATTCTTTTGCTGTTAGTAAGCTAGGTTCTGTGTACAGCATTTATACTAAGCCAAAGGCACTGATTTTAAGATCTTTTAATAAGATAACAAATTTCTGGAAATTACATTTTAATACTAGTTAATTTTCTACATAATTTGGAAAAATAGATATTGTTACTTAATTGAATATTTCTCCTAAGATACATTTAGAAAAGATTTGGGTTTTATAAATACTGATATTAATGTTGTACTGTGATACTGTGTTTACCTTTTTCTGTAACTGAAGTCTGGATTTTTTTTTTTTAATAGAATTCTCCCAGTCCTTGGTTACATCAGCCCACCCCTGTGACCTCTGCAGATGGTATTGGATTACTTAGTCACATTCCTGTCAGACCTTCTAGTGCAGAGCCTCATCGGCCTCTTAAAATTCCAGCGCATTCCAGTCCACCGTTGACAAAAACTTTAGTAGATCATCATAAAGAGTAAGTTCACCCATGCTTAAAAATTATGAGTACCTTATCTTTCATGCTGTTCTTAATTTACTCATTAAACAGTTAATATTAAGTTAATAAATGTCTTAAAACTAGGCTTTGAAGAAGTATTGTTCTGTTTTGATATGCCTTCTAATTTACTTGATATGTTAGAGTATATGCCACGATATAGTTTACTTTCATAATAGAATGATGTTGCATAGAAGCTGTCTTTGTATTTTGTAAGATAAAGGATTACAGGATTATTTGTATATTTTCTTTACAGAGAATTGGAGAGGAAAGCTTTTATGGAACCATTACGGTCTGTGGCATCCACATCTGCAAAAAATGACCTGGATCTAAATAGGTCACAGACTGGAAAAGATTGTCACCTGCATAGACATTTTGTGGATCCAGTATTAAGTCAATTACAGAGGCCACCCCAGGAGACTGGAGAGAGATTAAACAAATATAAGGAGGAACACCGTCGAATTCTTCAAGAAAGTATTGATGTTGCTCCCTTTACAACTAAAATTAAGGGGCTTGAGGGTGAAAGAGATAGCTATTCCAGAGTAGCATCATCATCCTCTAGTCCTAAAAGCCATGTCATCAAACAAGATACAGATATAGAACGCTCAGTATCAGACCTTTATAAAATAAAGCACTCGGTTCCTCAGAGTTTGCCCCAAAGTAACTATTTCACTACATTGTCTAATAGTGTGGTCAATGAACCACCAAGATCATACCCATCCAAAGAAGTTTCAAATATTTACAATGAAAAGCAGAGTAACACCCTTGCAGCAGCAGGTAATCCTCAAACCCTGACTTCGTTTATATCATCTCTTTCAAAGCCACCGCCTTTGATTAAACACCAACCAGAAAGTGAAGGTTTAGTAGGCAAGATACCAGAACATCTTCCCCATCAGATTGCCTCTCACTCGGTAACAACCTTCAGAAATGATTGTAGGAGTCCAACCCATTTGACAGTTTCTTCTACAAATACACTCCGCAGTATGCCTGCTTTACATAGAGCACCAGTATTTCACCCACCAATCCATCACAGCCTGGAAAGAAAGGAAAGCAGCTACAGTAGCCTTTCCCCTCCAACTTTAACTCCAGTGATGCCAGTAAATGCTGGTGGGAAAGTTCAAGAATCACAAAAACCTCCAACTCTAATACCTGAGCCAAAAGACGCTCAGGCAAATTTTAAGAGTTCTTCTGAACAGACTTTGACAGAAATGTGGAGACCTAATAATAACCTCAGCAAAGAGAAAGCTGAATGGCACGTGGAGAAAAGCAGTGGAAAATCACAGGCTGCTATGGCATCTGTCATTGTACGTCCACCTTCGAGTACAAAAATTGATAGCATGCCAGCAATGCAGTTATCTTCTAAAGATCGAGTTAGTGAAAGATCTTCAACTGGGACAAATAAAACAGAATGCCTCAAACCAGCAGAATCTGGAGAGACTGGAAGAATCATTTTGCCAAATGTGAATTCAGATAGTGCTCACACAAAATCTGAAAAAAACTTTCAGGCTGTCTCACAGGGCAGTCTTCCCAGTTCAGCCATGTCTGCTGTAAATACCATGTGTAATACCAAAACGGCTATATTCACATCTGCTGCCACTACTGCCAGTGTTTCCAGTTGGGGTGGTTCAGAAGTAATTTCTTCTTTATCAAATACCATTTTGGCCTCTACATCCTTAGAATGTACCTCTTCAAAAAATGTCAATCAGTCAATGGCTCAAACACAAGAATGCAAAGTCAGCACCACAGCTCCAGTTACACTAGCCAGTAGTAAGACAGGAAGTGCTATTCAGCCCAGTTCTGGGTTCTCAGGCACAACTGATTTTATCCATTTAAAAAAGCACAAGGCAGCATTGGCTGCAGCTCAATATAAAAGTAGTAATGTCAATGAGACTGAACCTAATGCTGTGAAAAATCAGACATCTTCAGCCTCCCTTCCCCTGGATAGCACCGTAATCTGTAGTACAATTAACAAAGCAAACTCTGTAGGAAATGGGCAAGTATCCCAGACAAGTCAACCGAACTACCATACTAAGCTGAAAAAGGCTTGGCTTACTAGACATTCAGAAGAAGATAAAAATACTAATAAAATAGAAAATTCAGGGAATTCTGTGTCAGAAATTATTAAGCCATGTTCTGTCAATTTAATAGCCTCTACATCTAATGATATACAAAATAGTGTAGATAGTAAAATTATAGTTGAGAAATATGTAAAAGATGATAAAGCCAATAGGAGAAAAGCCAAAAGAACTTACGAATCTGGCTCTGAAAGTGGAGACTCAGATGAAAGTGAAAGTAAGTCAGAGCAAAGGACTAAAAGGCAACCTAAGCCAACATACAAAAAGAAGCAAAATGATTTGCAGAAGAGAAAAGGTGAAATAGATGAAGATTTGAAACCCAATGGAGTTCTCAGCAGGAGTGCCAAAGAGAAAAGTAAATTGAAGTTGCAAAGCAACAGTAATAGTAAGTCAGTTACTTTGTTTTATCTCTGATAGCGTGCTGAGTGTTTTAACAGTAATGATGTGGTTCTTTAAAGGTTAGTGAGTTTAAGGCCATCTTTTGCCTTTATTTTCATGCCTTAGTTTTAGGTATATGCTCATTGATATCATTTCTGCATTTCACAAATATCCTGTAAGAGAAAAGGAGAGAAGATTTATTCCTCCATTTTTAAGAGACTTGTAGAAATACATTTGTTTTCCCTAGCACTCACTGTAGGTAATGTATGTAACCCAATTTTTAATTTAGTAGTTTTACATAATTTTGACCATTTCTAGGAACTGTCAGAATACAGTTATGGCTATTAAAATACCAAAATAGATTTCTAATATCAGCTAAGATATTTACCTATAACAGGGTTTAATTGAAAAAGAAATCCTACTCACAAATACTTGTTTTAAGACACATTTCTAGGAGAGAATTACAGTTATCCCATGGCATATTTGTGGAAGATTGGTTCCAGGAACCCCCATGAATACCATAATTCTGAGATGGCTCAAGTACCTTATAGAAAATGGCTTAATACAGATATGTGCCACATAATGACGTTTTGATCAACTATAGAATGTATGACTGTGGTCTCATTAAGATTATAATGCTGTATTTTTACCATGCCTTTTCTATGTTTAGATACACAAGTGCTTAACATTGTGTTACACTTATCTCCAGTATTCACTATGGTAACATGCTGTACAGGTCTGTAATCTAGGCTCAGTATACCATCTAGGTTTGTATAAATACATTCTATGATGTTTCCACAATGAGAAAATCCTAAGGATGTATTTATTTCTCATAACGTATCCTCATTGTTAACTGATATGCACGACCGTATTTGCACATAACCCATGCACATCCTCCTGCATACTTTATATCATCTCTAGATTACTTATCTAATACAATGCCTGCACATCACTTCATTCATGTGGATTCATCATGGTATTCTGCACATGGCAAATTCAGGTTTTACTTTTTGGAACTTTGTAGAATTTTTCCCTCCCAGTATTTTTGATCAGTGGTTAGTGGAATCTATGGATGTGGGACCCACAGTTATGGAGGACTGACTATTCTTCAGAATTGTATGAATGTGGCTTATATTTCACCTTTATCTGGTGGAAAATTGGAAGCTTATTGAAATTATCATCTGTTTAATAATGCTGCTCATTTTATTAATAGTCCTTAACAAATGGGTAAAAGGGGGAGGCTTGTGGTTTATGTGTTCATTTCTGTGTTCAAGAAGAATTTCCATAATAAGTTATAGCTTCAACACTGATATTTATGTTTCTTTTGTGGCTGTGGCTGGACAAAATAAGTGATACTTAACAGTAATATTCACTATAAAGTGTTTCTATATGTTTTTACTCTAGAAGTAGTTTTTCTCAGTTTGTTTATTTCTTTTTAGGTATGTTCCACAATACAGAAAGCACTTAATAGTTCACTGTATCCATGTGTTCATCCACATACAATATATGAAATATGTGACAATGTGGACACTCAAGAAGTACTTTCACAAGCACTCGGATGCTTGGAGGCTCTTATTTATGCCATTTCTCTGAGGTTTTCTCACATGATTATGTGGAAACCAGAGGCAAAGTGAAGGAGAGAAAAACAGGAGGATGGAATCATAGAAAAGGACAGTCAGAAAGTGAAAGAAGGACAAGCTCAACTAGAGACAGAGAGACTGACTGACTGAAATGCAAATATAGTCAGAAGACAGGGAGATTGACAACGAAGAATACCTGCCATTTATTTGAATATTGGATTATATACAATATTGCTTTTTCTCATGTGTTCTCCTTACTATCATCACCACTCCCCCCATGAACCTATAATAGATTTAGTGTGGTCAATAATTGTCTTCTGTCTCACATAACATTTCCTTTGGTGTTGGGTATTCAAATACTTTAGTTAAACTTACAGAAAAATAAAACAGATAGGAGCCTTCCAGCTTTTAACACTAGAAAACTCTTGTGAAGGTAAATTTATAAATTAACTCTTAATGGAGTACATACTTTCTTTTCATCTTGAGACTAAATGTTCGTATTTCCAAATAGGAGTTCTAACACAGGCCAGAATGAGTGCCTTTATTCCCATAAGTTGTGATGTCAGATCTCCTCTGCTTGGTAACTAGCGTTTATATTCAGAGAAGCTATTTATCCTATTTGTTCACCAAGTCCAAATTAATATTAAGTCACTATTAAATACCATCTATTAATTATTTGCAAAGTATACTTTTATTCTGAGCTGTCTAGAAAAGTTCTTTAAAAAAAATGTTTTTTTCTAGAGACAGTGTCTCACTATGTTGCCCAGGCTGGAGTGCAATGGCTAATTATAGGTGCAATCATAGTGCACTGCAGCCTCAAACTCCTGGGCTCAAGCAATCCTCCTGCCTCAGCCTCCTAAGTTAGAAAAGTTCTTTATATTGGGAGCTGTCATAAGTCAAGGAACTTATAAACCTGAGTGGATTATCTACTTTATGGATTAAATGTGACCATTTTCCTTCTAATGTTTAGTGGGGTTGTCATCAGTCATGGTCAATCAAAAAGAGTTGAGTTAAGCTTATACTTAGAGGATGTATTATGATTACGTACACTATTATACATTTGTAATTATATATTTTATACATACATAGTATATTGCTCAATACATTCTGAAGGCAGATTAATAGATTTTGCTGTATCTACTGGTTTGGAATGTCTTCATATCTGCTGCCTTTTGTTTCTGTTAATTAAAAGTTGGCTGCTTTTCCATGACTCATTTTTACATAATTTTATTTTATAACCTGAAATTACCCACCATATTTAAGTATGTCTGTAAGTCCTATGATATACAACCAATGATTTAACTATGATCATAGTTAATTTCTGTATCTCCAAAAAATATTTTTAAGGGGATGGAATATCAGAGATTAAAGGTTGGCATTTATTTGTCTTTTAATTTTCTTCCTCCCCAATTGCTTGAGCAGCTATTTGTGGATTTGCTAACAGAGAGCTAGGGTTAAAAATGTTCTTATGAAAGAAGAAATATCCATTAAGTTAGGTATTTTTTGTTGACTAAGTATATTAATCTCAAACTTTGAGTTTAGATATTGCCAATAGATATATAGAATTGAAGGATGAAATTATATTTACTGTACAAATACTATGGCAGTTAAATTTATAAAAGGAGTTAGCTACGCTCATGTTTGGCCTAGTCTAGAAGCAAAAACTATAATATCAAAAGTTCTCCATATGATTGGACCTTCCTGTCTTTGTAATTCATTTTTTTTTCCTTTAAAAGATCTCAGTGCCTATTTTGTGTCACATAATTGAGATTTGCTTTGAAATGTCTGGTTCTTTATTATAGTGCTGTTTAAATTGTTAACAGTGGTATGGTGATCTATACTCTGAACTGTTCCATTATCTGGAATTAAAAGCATATTGGTTAAAGTTATTTTCTAGTCAAAATATAATAGATTGCATTTAGTTTATTTTAGTGTAATAGATTAAAAAGTAAATAAATGATTAAAAGCAAATGTGCCAAATAAAGATTTATCAGCAGTATAACAATTCAGTCATTTATTCTGACTTTTAAAAGCTCTGAACGTTTTGTACCAATCTATAGGAAAAATCTGTCTTACATACAATGGAGGAAATATAAACCTTTTACATAAGGGGGGGGGCAGATAGTGTATGTCCATGCGTGTATATGCATGTGTGTTTCTCTAGTGGATTAAGCTAAAATAGCTCCTTGCCCTAAGTTAGAGACAGAAGATAAGGGAAAACATGTAATTATAAAGAATCAGGCTACAATTCTAGAAGTGCTTAATAATTAGACGCCATTTTAAATGGGCTACTCTATATTTTAAACACGGTACTTTATCTAGTAAGATATATGATCATTCTGTAATTGTACTGCTTGTACTATCAACAAATAAGTAATAGTGGAGCTCTGGACCAGAGTTTTGCTACAAGTCTCTGCTAGAAGAAACTAGTCTCACGAGAATAGTACCTCTCCACAAAAGGAGCATGATTAGAAAATGCAAATGTAGGTTAGAAGATGCAGGGTAGGAAATATAGTTTATTCTTTCGACATGACAAATAGCAAACTATATAAATCTATTGTCTGGTATTAGCTATATTAATATGGGTGGAATAAGTATACTTACAAACTAGAGTCAACAAATATTTGCTAGTCCTGACCTAGTTTGCTTTTAAATGAATATATTTTTTTAATTTAATAGTCAAAACTTAATTTGGGGGGTTCCTCATGTTCTAGATATTCCTCCTGCTCTATAGATGAGTGATTACTTGAGCCAATGTTCTTAATACTTGTTAGGCTCAACCTAACAAATGTGATGGAGCAATGGTATAGAGTACATAGGTGAACAGACTTTTTTTCTTTTGCAAATATTAGACTACACTTTTTTCCTTTATACTTATTCAATGCTTTTTTTCTTTTCATCAATAAAAACAGCTATGTTAATATTGGCTTCTTTCCTTCTTTGTTTCTTCCTTCCTTCCTGGGTTTTTTTGTTTTGTTTTGTTTTGTTTTTGGAGACAAGGCCTTACTTTGTCACCCAGGCTGAAGGGCTGAAGTGCAGTGGCACAATAATAGCCTCCCAGGTAACTAGGACTACAGGTGTGGGCCACCATAACCAGTTAATTTTTCTATGTTTTGTAGAGGTGGAGTCCTGCTATGTTGCCAAGGCCAGTTTTGCACTCCTGGCTCAAGCAACCCACCAAGTCCTCCCAAAGTGCTAGGATTATAGGTATGAGACACTATGCCCAACCAGTTTTCTTCCTTTTACTTTTTTCAAACCTTTTTATTTGTCTACAGCAGGGGTCCTCAAACTTTTTAAACGGGGGGCCAGTTCACTGTCCCTCAGACCGTTGGAGAGTATGCACTGTGGGCCCAGGACAAGTGGGCTGCTAAGCAGGACAGGCAGCTGCGGCAAAAACACCCCGCAGGCCAGATAAATGTCCTAGGCGGGCAGCATGTGGCCCCCGGGCCGTAGTTTGAGGACTCCTGGTCTACAGGGTGCTGCTTCCATCAATAATGTTTATTTTAAATGCAGGGTACTAAGGTAAAGATATTAGGAGAAATATCTTAGGCCCTTTTCTTTCCAATATAGGTTTTTTAAAATCACTTGTCTCAATGAGCCACACTTAGAAAATCAGATTAAGTATTTCAATAGAAATATGTTAAACTAGCATGTAGGCCGGGTGTAGTGGCTCACGCCTGTAATCCTAGTACTCTGGGAGGCCAAGCGGGCGGATTGCTCGAGGTCAGGAGTTCGAAACCAGCCTGAGCGAGACCCCGTCTCTACTAAAAATAGAAAGAAATTAATTGACCAACTAAAAATATACATACAGAAAATTAGCTGGGCATGGTGGCACATGTCTGTAGTCCCAGCTACTCAGGAGGCTAAGGCAGTAGGATCACTTGAGCCCAGGAGTTTTAGGTTGCTGTGAGCTAGGCTGATGTCACAGCACTCACTCTGGCCTGGGCAACAAAGTGAGACTCTGCCTCTAAAAAAATAAATAAATAAATAAACTAGCATGTAATTTCTAACTATAAAAACTTGGTCTTTAGATTCTTGCTATGGATCTTGAAAGAGCTTCCTCCTAGGTAAACCAAATTTCAGTGTAGAAATGACTGTATTTTTAGTTATGTTTTACATAAAGTATGAATGATTCTCATGTTTGCTAGTATACATATATATTTAATATGTAAAGAGTTCAGTCAGCTGGAAAATTATGCAGTTCTGCATTTCCAGAATACTAACATAAGAGTGGTTCATTTGGTTACTAAGTAAGTAGATAACACTGTTGTGGACTTTTTAGTTATTAATCAGTAACTAGAATTCTTAATGCCTTTGCTTCTTTTCTACAGTCTTACTGTATTGTCATCGTTATGTGACTGACTTGAATTTTATCTCAAGGAGTTTAACTTTTGTAAAACATAATCTTGCTAAAACTTTCCTACTGATTTTACAGCTGGCATTCCTCGCTCAGTATTAAAAGATTGGCGTAAAGTCAAGAAGCTGAAGCAAACTGGGGAATCCTTTTTACAGGATGACTCCTGCTGTGAGATAGGGCCTAATTTACAAAAGTGCCGAGAATGTAGACTTATTCGCAGTAAAAAAGGAGAAGAACCAACTCACTCACCAGTGTTTTGTAGATTTTACTACTTTAGACGGTAAGTGAAAATATGAAATTGGGAAAAAATATATTGGTATTAGAAATTATATTGTTATGCTAAAGGTCCCTTTTGGGTAGGGGAATGAGTCTTTTGAGTCTCCATGTTTCTGAAACATTATAAAAGAATATTAAATTTTTTGTGCTAAATTTTAACAGTAGCTAACTATTGAACTAAATACATACATTATTACCTGTGTTCCATATGGCTTTTCTCTTCCAAGAGATTTATTCCATAATGAGAAAATGTTAGTGTTTTTTCCTAGAAAATGATAGGAAATAACAGTTTGGTTTTTGTTTAAGGAGTTTTTTTAAAAATTTATATACTTTGGCCAAAACAATGTAGCATTCATATTTGTGCTTTAGATAGTAATCACAAATTGTCTGTAAATCAAAGTTAACAGTCTAGGCTAGTAAGCTTAAGTCAATACATTCCATTGCAGCACCCATACTTTTATTAAACATACATTAAATATTTGTAGCTGGAGAAATTTGAGTTATAAAATGACAAGGAGGATTTATTAGTACCATGTCACATGTCACAGGTTTTGTAGTAAAATATAAAAACCACTTAATAGTTATTAACCTATGTACTAATTTAATATTACTAAATATTACTTTAAAACTAAAAACTTACAGACTTGTAAAAGTTCAGCTAAGGAATAGCTAGATAACCTAGCCAGTAAAGATTCTGTCTCACATTCTAGAATCAGTTATTCCTGGTTGTGAATCCTAACTCTGTCCCTTTATGGTTAATAAAGTTCCTATGTCGGCCGGGCGAGGTGGCTCACGCCTGTAATCCGAGCACTCTGGGAGGCCGAGGCGGGCGGATTGCTCGAGGTCAGGAGTTCGAGACCAGCCTGAGCAAGAGCGAGACCATGTCTCTACTATAAATAGAAAGAAATTAATTGGCCAACTAATATATATAGAAAAAACTAGCCGGGCATGGTGGTGCATGCCTGTAGTCCCAGCTACTTGGGAGGCTGAGGCAGGAGGATCCCTTGAGCCCAGGAGTTTGAGGTTGCTGTGAGCTACGCTGACGCCACGGCACTCACTATAGCCTGGGCAACAAGCGAGACTCTGTCTCCAAAAAAAAAAAAAAAAAAAAAGTTCCTATGTGACTTTATTAACTATAGTAGCAGTACAGCTAAGCCTGTCTCTTCTGCAAAATGTGAATGATAAATGTACCTAAGTTAGAGAGGTTTAATGAAAGTTAAATGAGATAAAGTACACAAAGTCCTTACTGTAGTCCTATTCATTCGTGTGTGTATACATAAGGTCTGTCCAGCAAGTATCTAGCCATTGTTAATACACCGCGAATGGTTTGCACTACATCAATGTAACCTGGTAGCCAAGGAGAGTGGAATGGAATGCACATGCATGAATAATGATTTCACTGTACTGCTCAGTGGCATGCTAGACACCATTGAGTAAGAATGTGTACTGTGTGGCTGTCACATTCAAAATGAGCGAGTAGAGCAACAAATCTGCATCAAATTTTGCATTAAGTTTGAACATTCTTCCTCGGAAACTAATCAGATGATTCAGAAGGCTTTTGGGCACCATGCAGTGAGGGCAGTGCAAATATAAGTCTGGCACAAACACTTCAAAGATGATGATGATTGAGAATCTGTTGAAAGTGGTCCACATCTAGAAGGCCTGCAGCAAGCAGAACACCTGAAAATGTTGAATGTGTACAGGTTAGGTTAAGAGATGCTGGTAGAACTGTGTGAGGTCCCAAGGTGCCTACTTTGAGAGGGGTGGGACACTAAGGAGTCAAAGGAGTCCTTTGAACAATGTTTCTTATATCTTCTTCAGTAAATGTCTCTATTTTTCATATTACATGGCTGAATACTTTCTGGACAGATCTCTTATATATGCATATATGAAATGTTCTATTTGTTGTAATTATTTTCCTAATTTCTTCTTTTTAAGAAGTTAGGATACACCTAACTGTGATAAATACTCTATACTGATAATCCAGTAGAGATCAAAAAAACTATGTATTGGTAAGAACAGACCCAGTTCTTTTCCTTTACTTCACAATCTTTGCGGCCAGCAATCCCCAACGGACAGATACCTTGAGGAAATAGTTAAAGGAGATAGTATACATAAAGTGCAGAAGAGATGATAAAAAGAATCAAGAGGAAAGTAAGTTTAAGGAAATAAGAAAATCTAGGAAGAGTTTGAAGGAAAAAATTATTTACATAAAGATTGTAACACAAAGCTGAAGATGATGGGTTATGACAAAGGGAGAAATTTGGTTTAAAAAGAAGAGGGAGGGTGGACGTGGTGGCTCAAGCCTATAATCCTAGCACTCTGAGAGGCCGAGGTGGGAGGATCGCTTGAGATCAGGCATTCTAGAACAGCCTGAGTGAGAACAAGATCCTGTCTCTACCAAAAATAGAAAAAAAATTAGCCAGGCGTGGTCATAGTGGCGCATGCTTATAGTCCCATCTACTTGGGAGGCTGAGGCAGAAGGATTGCTTGGGCCCAGGAGTGTGAGGTTGCAGTAAGTTATGATGGCACCAGGGCACTCCACCTGGGGTGACAGAGCAAGACTCTGTCAAGAAAAAAAAAAAAAAGAGGAGGAGGAAGGAAACTTTGGTAAGATAATAGAGGTATGAGAAATAGAAGTAAAAGGTATGTTTTGTTTAAAAAAAAAGTATATATAATAAATGTTAGATATCCCTTGAGAGTAAAGTACAAGATATTTGAGGAATAACCACTAGTCAGTAAGAGAATGGCAATTTGGTCTTCTATTTACCATAAACTTCTCTAAATAGAGTAGATTATTTGGATGTCAGAAGCTAAGAGCAAGTAAGCACATTAGTTGGGTTCTTGCAAAGACTAAGAGTTTCATCCTTGTTCTCCTAAATCATTTTAATAAAGTGTAATTTTAATTACAGTGTATGTTATACTTGCCTTTTTTTTTTTTTCAATCCTTCCAGTAAACATCTTAAGGTGATTTTTTTTTTTTTTTTTGAGACAGAGTCTCTCTTTGTTGCCCAGGCTAGAGAGCTGTGGCATCAGCCTAGCTCACAGCAACCTCAAACTCCTGGGCTCAAGCGATCCTCCTGCCTCAGCCTCCCGAGTAGCTGGGACTACAGGCATGCACCACCATGCCCGGCTAATTTTTTTTATATATATATCAGTTGGCCAATTAATTTCTTTCTATTTATAGTAGAGACGGGGTCTCGCTCTTGCTCAGGCTGGTTTTGAACTCCTGACCTTGAGCAATCCGCCCGCCTCGGCCTCCCAAGAGCTAGGATTACAGGTGTGAGCCACAGCGCCCGGCCCTTAAGGTGATTTTTTAGCCCATTTTCAACTTTAGTGATTCCTTAATTTAGGTTATGTATAAAGTAACAGTATTGGTATAGGCAACATAGGTCCCACATTTTTACTGGTCATTTATCAAACACATAAACACTTAAATATAGTTTTCATTTGGTAGGAATTAAAGTACTTAACTATAAGTGATAGGAAGAATCTTATTTCTTGGTAGGACCTAAAGTTGGTGCTGCTTTATCATTGCCATTTGCATAACACCTATGAGAGTTATTTAAATTGATTAATTTGATAATTAATGTGTGTGAAGAACTACCCTATATTCCTGTTTTTAACTTAGAATTTATATGTTTGTAATATAAACATAAATCTATTATAAGTTTACAACTTTAACTGTACTTATATTTTCTTAATATCTTGCTATCTAATGCTTTTATGTTTTAATGTTTCAGATTGTCATTTAGTAAAAATGGAGTGGTTAGAATAGACGGTTTCTCTTCTCCTGACCAGTATGATGATGAAGCTATGAGTTTATGGACACATGAAAATTATGAAGATGATGAACTAGACATAGAAACTTCTAAATATATCTTGGATATAATAGGTGATAAATTCTGTCAATTAGTAACATCTGAAAAAACAGCTTTGACCTGGGTAAAAAAGGATGGTAAGGAAGTTAAATATAACTTGAACTGTCCAAATTTCATTTTAAGACTTTTTCTTTGAATCATGTTTAATTATCTAGTTTTGGTGATTTTTAGTTATGATAATGGCACCTTTTTATGCACAAATGCACCTGTGTGTACTTAAGCTTATAGATATTTTCCTATCGAGGTTGAATTGAGTAGATTAACCATTTATGAAAGTATAATAACATTTTGCTATTTGGTATTTCTGACATTATAACATAAATCAGAGCGATAAAACCACTTTGGATGCGAAATTGTAAAATTTTAGCATTTGACATAAAATAATTCATCTGAATTATTGATATTTGAATCTCATGTTACTGCTTGTTTAACTGTGTGACCTTTGGCAAATAATCTGCATGAATATCAGGCAGGTCTGTGAAATTACCTCATAAATTTTGTTTAGAAAGTAGTTATGGCAATTAGTTTTACTTATGTAAAAGCACTTAACAGTACCTAGCATAATTGATGCTCTAAATATTAGTTTCTTTTCCTTCCCTTCCCTAAAATCAGTTGTTTGTCCCTCAGGGGACATTTGGTAATAATTAGAGACATTTTTGGTTGCATAACTGAAGGGAGTGGGATACGCTGCTAGCATCTAACGGCATCTAATAAGATTTCCCTAAATACCCTATAATGCACAGGATAACCTTATCCTGCAACAAAGATGTTTTCGGCCCAAAATATAAAAAGTGCCAAGGTTGAAAAACCCTGCCTTAGATGTAAGCCATTTTTATTTATCACTTTTGATCATTAGTGAGTCTTCTGAAGAGGATTACTAATTATTTCAAGAAATCTATTAGTCTTTAGTTAATATAGCCTTAAAAGTTCTTGGTTCGCTTTTACATTTTTAATTTTGCTTGTATTTTAGCCAAAATTGCTTTGGAAAAGAGCATATTTGCTTTTAAATGTTTGTTTTTTCTGTATCTCAGCCAAAATTGCCTGGAAAAGAGCAGTAAGAGGAGTCCGAGAGATGTGTGATGCATGTGAAGCGACATTGTTTAACATTCACTGGGTCTGCCAAAAATGTGGATTTGTGGTCTGCTTAGATTGTTACAAGGCAAAGGAAAGGAAGAGTTCTAGAGGTTGGTTGATAAGTTTATATGAACTGAAGTTTTTGATAATGTTTCTTTTCTTTAGGATCACTCATCTGGAAAATCTGTACCTTCCTTATGTTAAGAAAGTTTTGTGAAATTTGTTTTTGAGAGTAGGAGTAATCACAGTTTATTAAAAGCTCTATTTTTGTTGTTGTTGTTGTTGTTGTTGTTGTTGTTAGGATTAAACTGCATCTATATCTTTCAGCCTGCTGAGTATATGCACCCTCTCATTTCAAGCAGATAGTTCCTTAATGTAGCTCAAATTTAGGTTAGGCCTTGTTGCTTTAAGACTGCAATGTGTAGGAGCCTGAAGTCCTAGAAACTGTTAATTACACAGTCATACTTATAAGTCATAATTGAATACTTCATAATATAAATTAATTTTTCTAAATATTGGTCTATAACTTTCAAGTGAAATGTTAAAGAATATGCTACCATTAGCACCATTTATCTCTCAGTTCTTAGACAATGCAAAAGAAATCTTTATATTTGTAAACAGCCTTTGAAGCAATTATTTCTGCTTTCTAGGTAAATAAAATGACACAAAAACAATGTTCCCCTTGTTAATATAGCTGGAAATAATGCGAAGTTTGAAAAAGGAAGTAACTAAATACATTGAAAAGTGTTTTAGAGAAAGCTTATCCAAGGCAATTTTGGAAGTGGCTACCTAATCCTGACTGACACTAAGTAATTTGTTATGAGTAAAGTTCTGATGAAATGAGAGGATTAGAATTGTTTGAAGTATTAGAACTAAATATTTAGGCCGGGCACAGTGGCTCATGTCTGTAATCCTAGTACTCTGGGAGGCAGTAGGATTGCTTGAGCTTGAGATCAACCTGAACAAGAGTAAGACCCTGTCTCTACCAAAAAGAAAGGGAAAAAACCCCAGCCAGACGTTGGGGTGCGCACCTGTAGTCTCAGCTACCTGGGAGGCTGAAGCAGGATTGCTTAGAATAGGCAGGGGTCCTCAAACTTTTTAAACGGGGCTAGTTCACTGTCCCTCAGACCGTGGAAGGGCCATTGGAGATTGTGGCGCACATTCCACATGTGCGCGCCGTGGGCCTGGGACAAGTCAGCTGCTAAGCAGGACAGGCATCAGCGGCAAAAACAGCTGACAGGCCGGATAAATTTCTTCGGTGGGCCACAGTTTGAGGACGCCTGGACTAGAGCCTAGGAGTTGGAGGCTGCAGTGAACTACAGTGACACCACTGCATTCTACCCAGGGTGACAGAGTGAGGCTCTGTCTCAACAACAACAAAAAACATTGAATATTTAGTGACAGACTGTCAATGTCTCAAAACAATGAATGTCATTTTCATCCCAGGCAGCTCTTTTTGAGAGTATTATATAAGGTAGATATACCATGATTTAGCCATCAGTATTACTGGGAGAACTACTAAAACTTACCCTGTCTGACCCTTTTTCATATACACACATCACCAAAGAAACCTGAGCAAACATGGAAACATATGAACATTTACAGCTAGGTGTTTCTGGGCTATGCAGTAAATATGTAATGATGAGTAAATTGTGAAACCATAATGAGAAATGTAGGCATTTAAATATCTTTAAAACCATAAAATTGTATTTTGATGTTTTCAATTGGTAGAACTAGCTGCATTGTTATAAAACTTCATGACATGTATTTTATATATTTTTTTCTGATTTCATATTACTTTTGTTTTTACTTTGCCAAATTTAAAAATGTTTATTTTAATATACTCTCTTATTATATTGTATGCATTTAAATAAGCTACCATGAATCTTTTTTTTGAACAAGATAGGGGTATTTATACTAACGTAAACAGTTGTGTTTCTGCTAATTTTCATAATACTATTAACTTGAAAGTATAGTCTGGTAGTCACTGTATCATTCTATCAAGTATAACCTATGCCTTGGGTTATATTGTTATCTATATATCTTTATTCTACTGTTAAGTATTGTAGTAAAACTCATATTGACTAGGCTTAATAGTGGCAGTCAACAATAAGTGTCTAAAATATAAACAGAAAACATTTACAAGTTACCATGTAGTCTTGGGAAAGTTAAATCTTTTAAAGATAACCAGTTTTAGACTGGATTTGAATTTTATTTAATCTATACTTTTTATGAAACAATAATTGTAGATTTTTTTAATGCTGCATTTATTGAGTTTTGTGATACTGAAGATCTTATAGCCACATTATCAGTAGCTGTCATTAAATTTATAGAGAAAGTTCTCCTTGAAATCAAGGTATCAGATATTTTTCCCACTTATGGTATGCCCCATACTATGACTTTTAATATGTTTACAACTCCAGGAATTGAGCTTTGTTTGAAGGCATCAATATCAGTTAATAATAGCTATATGGTACCAGCTTTTTCACATCCCATGGTAGGTCCTCCACATCTGTTTGAAGTATAAGAGGAATGAATATGAGATAGCAGCAGCCTCAGACTTAAGTCAAACGGGTATATAGTACTAGGATCAGACATAAACCCTATTTGGCACAAAAATTAGCCAGAAGATAAAAGGAGATATGCTACAGAGAAGCTAGAATCAGAGAAGGTAGAGGTGACTAATAAAAATGATAATAAAGAGTGATAATTTTAGAGAAGGCTATCATATCTGTATCACTATTTTTATAAAATTCATAGAAGGGTGGAACTGTCTTTTCTGACTTTATTTTTTTAAGAATCAAATATCTGAAGCCTGTCACTGACATTTTATATATTTCTTTATGTACAAGCCGTCAATTCTCTAATTATAAAACCTGCAGCTGGGTGCAGTGGCTCACACTTGTAATGCCAGCACCTTGGAAGACCAAGGCAGAAGGATCACTTGAGGCCAGCAGTTCAAGACCAGCTTGGACAACATAATAAGACCCCATCTCTACAAAAAAACAATTTTTTTAATTGGCCAGGCATGGTGGTACATATTGGTAGTCCCAGCTACTGGGGAGGCTGAGGCAGGAGGATTGCTCGAGCCCAGGAGTTCAAGGCTGCAGTTAGCAATGATCACACTACTGCACTCCAGCCTGGGTGATAGAGTGAGACCCTGTCCCTTAAAAAACAAAAAACCATTGAGTATGATATAAAACTGGATATTTTATCTTACAGATAAAGAACTGTATGCTTGGATGAAGTGTGTAAAGGGGCAGCCTCATGATCACAAACATTTAATGCCAACTCAAATTATACCTGGTTCTGGTAAGTATAAATATATATTATTTACTTAGCAGCTCTAGATAAAAGAAGCAGCTAAAGGAATGTCTAGAAATATAATAAGTTTTTCTAGTCTTGAATTGTCTTGCTCAGAGTTATTAGAAATTCTCTGTAATAAATAAAGTTCAGAAGACAAGCCCAACCTCAGTGACGAAGAAAGCCATAGAGGGAACCATCTTAGAAGGGGAAAACTAGAGTGTAATGAAAGGCCTATTGGATTTCCAATGAAAGCTTTCTAAGATTTTGAATGTACTGGATTTTTAAAAATAGAGGTAAAGAGAAAAAAAAATAGAGAACATAAATTTGGTTAAATGATCAATTCTGTGATAGATGGAAGAAATAGAATGGGGAAAAATATGGAAGAAAATATAAAAGGTACAAGAAAAGCTCCACTGCTATAAAATAAGAAAAATTTTATAGTAATGACTAGTGGTAATCTTTTTATTAACTACCATTTTATTTTGTAGTTTTGACAGATCTTCTAGATGCCATGCACACTCTTAGGGAAAAATACGGTATTAAATGCCATTGTCATTGTACTAACAAACAGAATTTACAAGTTGGAAACTTTCCTACAATGAATGGTGTATCTCAAGTGAGTAAAAATCTCTAATTATTCAAATAGAATGCATGGTTAAATTAATCATTTTTGATATTTGAAATCCAGTATAGGATTTGTGTGTTGTGAGTTGTGTTTTCTGTCTTACTGTGTAAACTACTTACAACTATTAATACTACCTTTAACTCTGAATAATTAAAGAAATAGTGTTTAAAAAGGTAATTGTTCTACCTTTGTAGGTTTTACAGAATGTTCTTAATCATGGAAATAAAATTTCTCTGTGCATGCCTGAGTCTCAGCAGCAAAATACTCCTCAAAAGTCTGAGAGTAATGGCAACAGCAGCCCAGGAAGTGATGTAAGCACAGATAGCAAGTTAACTCCTCCAGAATCCCAGTCACCACTGCATTGGTTAGCAGATCTTGCAGAGCAAAAAGCGAGAGAGGAAAAAAAAGGTAAATATAACTAATTATCTAAGTATATATTAGAGGATTATAGTATGACTATCAATGTACTATTACATATTAAAGTACTGATATTGATATTAAATAATTTACTTTGATCTTTTGCTTGAATTATGGCTTAAGTTCAATACAACATTTGTCCTGTTAGAAACCAGCCTTCTTGTGTGCATCAAAATTAATTACAGGATCTTTTGTGGATGAGCATATAAAGTCACTCTGGTACTAGATTTGTAACTTACCTATATTTTTTGGCTATCTCAGCAGCAGCATTTTTCATTAGTGACAGGTATAAACTCAGCCACATGTCTAAGATACTGAGGAAGGCCTTTCCATGTTCAGAATGTTTGATGCCATTTTGAAGACTCTAATTCATCCTCTGATTTGTGTTTAGGTGAATCAATCACTAATGATTTAGTTTCTATCTCACACTATAAAATGCAGGGTGCCAGCTTGAGTTAAAATTTGTGAAACTTTTTTTTCAGAAAACAAAGAATTTGCTCTCGAAAAGCAACTTAAAAACGATGGAGAACAGGACAACTCTGATTCTCCAAATGGCAGAACATCACCACCTATGTCCCAGAATAATGAACAAGGGTCAACTTTACGGGATTTGCTGACCACCACAGCTGGCAAGCTACGAGTGGGCTCTACAGATGCTGGCATTGCCTTTGCCCCAGTATATTCAATGGGAGCCCCAGTGAGTGTGATGCCAGATTTTTGCTTTTAATGTGGGCCTTAATTGAGATGAGTTGGGTATTTGGCTGTTGGGTATGAACTGTCCAATAAATGGATGCAGATGAAATCAAATGTATGAAATTGCTAGGCATGTTCCTTATTTACATTGTAACTCTTAACTTCAAAGCTGGCATTTTCCACTAACCTTAATGAAAGATCGAAGGAGAGGGCCCTTGGATGCCAGAAGAGCCCTAAGATGCCCCTTCAGAATTTGAAAACCATATGGAAGTGAAAAATACCTGGAAATTAAATTTTGCTTTAAAAAAGGGAAGCAGAATAATTGCCTAGGTAGATGAAAAATTTTAAAGTATATGGGAGAGGAGAGGCGTGGTAGCTATGCCTGTAATCTTAGCACTCTGGGAGGCTGAGGCAGGAGGATCGCTTAAGCCCGGGAGTTGGAGGTTGCTGTAAGCTAGGCTGACACCAGGGCACTGTAGCCTGGGCAACAGAGTATGACTATGTCTCAAAATTTTAAAAAGTATATGGGAGATTCCATCCACCTGTACACTCTGCCTTAGCCCTAAAACAATGTAAAAGGTAATAAGAAGTCTGTTCTTCTAGGGTCTGCAGACCAGGCAGTTTCTCACATCACCAAACTTCTATTCCTCATCTGCCAGGAACAGTGTAAGGACTAGGGATCCATATCCATTAACATAAATGCATATTCTTGAATGCAGGGATGGTGTTAAAAAATTAACAGTGTGTGGGAGGAAAATGTATACATTTCCTCTCAAACTATAATTCTTCTCAGTGTATTTTTTTCTCTTAATAGAGTGGCAAGAGTGGACGGACTATGCCTAACATTCTTGATGACATAATTGCTTCAGTTGTTGAAAACAAAATTCCACCAAATAAAACCTCCAAGATAAGTATAAAACCAGAGCTTAAGGAAGAGCCTGAAGAAAGCAGAAAATCTGCCATGAATGAAAATAATAAATTGTACAGTGATATACCACATTCTTGGATCTGTGAGAAGCATATTTTATGGCTTAAAGATTACAAGAATACTAATAATTGGAAGCTTTTCAAAGAGTGTTGGAAACAAGGACAGGTGAGTATTTTAGGCTGATTAAGTACACTCTCAGTAGAGCAGAAGCTGATTAAATAGACAAAATGGTTCCTTCCTTAGGAATAGAAATAGGGGAAGAAATAGTAAACACATATGTGGGGCAATAAGATATCAAAAATAGTACTGAAAGGATTACCAGAATGATTATTTCTGAATTCCTGCTTTTTGGCTACATTTATATGAATTAACAAGGAAGCAGTGATTTGCTGTTAAATTTTTGATCTGTCAGTGAACAGACATTTAATAAAGCCCTACATTTACAAAATTCAGTCCTTCCTACCTTTTTAAGATTGATATTGTAGCCCAACTTGCACATTCATATCTACTGTTAAAATGTTAACCATTGTTAGAAGCATTTTTCACAAACAAATGAAGATGTAGGTGTTTTTGCCTGTTATGTTTATACATAAAACATTTATAAATTAGTTCATCAGATCTTGAATTACAAACTCCATTACTCTAATAATGATTTTCTCTTTGACAAAAGCTTTAATACAATGTTTGATATTTATTTCAGATGGTAATATACTGCATTAATGCAAAAATTAGGAATAAATGTAATTATATGTATGATGGTATTATCATTTTCAATTTATTTCTTACCTTCTGGAAACCATCACTGCTGTTTTATTTTTTTCATTCACCAGATAATTATTGAACACCTAATAAAATTCAGTCTCTGTGCTAAGGCATTAAGGATATAAAATTAAGCTATGAAAATGAATAAGAACCATTTTAGTGTAGTGAATCTTGATCCTTTTAGGTCACTAAAATCTTTCAAAATCTGGTAAAGCTTTACCTCGCCTCAGAAAAAGTACACCCCTATGTGTGTGTATATATAAATAAGATTTGGTATATATTTTTTGGTTGGGTCTTCATGAAGCCCTGATGCTATTACTGGGTCAAAATTTAATTTAATTTTGTGTGGTCTTTTGAAGTAGACAACAGTCACATAAATAAATGTTTTCATAAATATGTTAAAAGTTCTAAGAACTTGGTTCAAAATGCTGTGGAAACCCAGGAAAGAGAATGGCAAAGCTAGAGTACTAGTTCAAAAAAGCTACTCTGAATTGTTCCTAAGAGATTAACGGAAATTTTGCTATATGGACAAGAGACTGGACATATACAAGAGCATCAGTTTGGGAAATTCTGAGTAGGTTTGTTTATCTGGACCGTAGATGAGGGCTCGGTGGGAGAATGGTGGGGGAAGGTAAATAGGTGAACTACATAGGGCCTTTATATATCATGCTCTAAGGAGTTTATACTGTAGATGATAGTTTTAATTGAGGAATCTGTGTAATTAGATTGACATTTAAAATAACTGATAGCAAAGCTGATTAGAAGTTGAATTAGAGAATGATACCAGAAACAAAAAGTCTAATTAGGAAGACTTATAGTATTTCAGGAAAATCATGATGATAGCCTAAGGATTCTACTTTGAATTATTATAATATGCTATTAGCTTACCCCTGTCTTTTAAAAAAATCTACTTACTTTTCCCAAACTGCTGATTGCTGTAAGAAACAGTAGCATAGGGCTGGATAATAGTATTATTGGATAGGCGCTAGAAATTAATACGGGAATTGCCAGTGGTAATTATTTACTACCTGGACTTGATTTATGAGTTGGATATATATCAACCCATTTGAAGGGTGTTTAACAAAACATTCAACCAAGTAGTTACCAGTATTTAGAGTGGTGTTTTTTTTTAACTTTTTAATTCTTTCCAAATATTATTATATTATGAAGTTTAAGAATACCTAATATCATGCTTGAATTTTTTTTAATTTTGTTTTTTATTTTATTTTATTTATTTTTTTGAGATGGAATTTTGCTATATTGCTCAGGGTAGACATGAACTCCTGGGCTCAAGCAATCCTCCCCTCTCACCTCAGCCTCTGGAGTAGCTGGGACTAGTACCATGCCCAGCCTAATAAATACCATTTTTCAGAGACTCTTAAATCACAATTTCCTGTGTTCTTTGTATTTTGCTTCATTAAGAATAAAGGAATAGGCCGGGCGCTGTGGCTCACGCCTGTAATCCTAGCTCTTGGGAGGCCGAGGCGGGCGGATTGCTCAAGGTCAGGAGTTCAAAACCAGCCTGAGCAAGACCCCGTCTCTACTATAAATAGAAAGAAATTAATTGGCCAACTAATATATATAATATAAAAATCAGCCGGGCATGGTGGCTCGTGCCTGTAGTCCCAGCTACTCGGGAGGCTGAGGCAGCAGGATCGCTTGAGCCCAGGAGTTTGAGGTTGCTGTGAGCTAGGCTGACGCCACGGCACTCACTCTAGCCTGGACAACAAAGTGAGACTCTGTCTCAAAAAAAAAAAAAAAAAAGAATAAAGGAATAGGCTGGATGCAGTGGCTCATGCCTGTAATCCTAGCACTCTGGGAGGCCGAGGCAGGAGGATCGTTTGAGTTCAGGAGTTTGAGACCAGCCAGAGTAAGAGAAAGACCCCATCTAAAAAAACAGAAAGAAATTAGGTGGACATCTAAAAATATACATATAAAAAATTAGCCAGGCAGGGTGGTGCATGCCTGTAGTCCTAGCTACTTGGGAGGCTGAGGCAGGAGGATCCCTTAAGCCCAGGAGTTTGAGGTTGCTGTGAGCTAGGCTGATTGCCACGGCACTCTAGCCCAGGCAACAGAGTGAGACTCTGTCTCAAAAAATAAAAGAAATGCATTAAGAAAACCTCAGGGCCAGGCGCGGTGGCTCACGCCTGTAATCCTAGCACTCTGGGAGGCCGAGGCGGGCGGATTGCTCAAGGTCAGGAGTTCAAAACCAGCCTGAGCGAGACCCCGTCTCTACTATAAATAGAAAGAAATTAATTGGCCAACTAATATATATAATATAAAAATCAGCCGGGCATGGTGGCTCGTGCCTGTAGTCCCAGCTACTCGGGAGGCTGAGGCAGCAGGATCGCTTGAGCCCAGGAGTTTGAGGTTGCTGTGAGCTAGGCTGACACCACGGCACTCACTCTAGCCTAGGCAAGAAAGCGAGACTCTGTCTCAAAAAAAAAAAAAAAAAAAAAAAGAAAACCTCAGAATAATATATTAGTTGACCTTAGAAATGTTTTTACATCATTTATTGGAGCTTTAGAAGCTATATATCTTGTTGGTTTCTGGGTTAGAGAGCCTTAAGCGAATTTGAATTCATGTGATTTCAAAGATGAGTTTCACTTTCAGAGAATCAGTTGTTAGGCTTGAAATTTAAAGCTTTCTATGCCTTAGGTATTTAATATTTTTATCATGATCTTTGTAGATGCAAAAAAAATAGTACCTTAAGTGATAAGACTCAAAATGTATATAAATTATGTTTCAATCTCAAGGATTGTATGTATTTTTATTTAAAAATCTTACCATATATACATACAAATAAGTAGCTTATATTCTCTGTAAAAATTAGTCTTATAGATAAAGCAACCAGGTAATCCATGTTTCTACTATGAAGAAATTGAATTTTTAGTATAGCCTCTTAGACTTATTTTCTGAAAATTACTACACTTTTAAATTTTTGTTTTCAAAAATGCCACTGTACTCTACATAGCATTCTCTCATCATCTTTTTTCTTTGACAGTATATTGTGAATATCTTTCCAGGTCAGGGACTTTTTTTTAATAGCCTCTTTTATACTCATAGATTTGTCAACAGGCTTGAAACTTAATGTGTTAAACATTTGTTATATGTGCATGTAAAATTAAATCTTGAAGTGTCCATATACCTTTTAACTGTTACTTGTTTATCTATTTATTTATAAGCCTGCAGTGGTTTCTGGTGTGCATAAGAAAATGAACATTAGCTTATGGAAGGCGGAGTCAATTAGTCTTGATTTTGGAGACCACCAAGCTGATCTCCTGAATTGCAAAGACAGCATTATTTCAAATGCCAATGTTAAAGAATTCTGGGATGGTTTTGAAGAAGTTTCAAGTATGTTGTTTTTGTTTTACTGTTTTCTTAATCATATCCCTCCAAAATGATAAATTGCAAATGTAACTTAACAGATTTTTAGTCTTTAAAACATCCGTATTACATTATTATCTAATAAAAAGAAACAAGTAACTGGAAAGAAAATACTGGGTCCTAATTCTTTCAGTGCTAATTTTCTTTGACCTTGAAGCCATTTATACTGTACTTATATTTGGGGACATTTTTGGCAACCTCATAACTTGTGAGAATTTTATTATATAATTTATGTAAAGCACTTTGAAAATTAAAACTATAAAAAGTAAGATTGTAATGTTAACAAGATTTTTAAAAATAATTTTCTGAGATTTACAGTGGGTAATGCAATATCCTATTTATGTACAAAAAAGAATAAAAGTTTTAATACTACATTAAAAATATAAGGAATAGGCCGGGCGCTGTGGCTCACGCCTGTAATCCTAGCTCTTGGGAGGCCGAGGCGGGCGGATTGCTCAAGGTCAGGAGTTCGAAACCAGCCTGAGCAAGAGCGAGACCCCGTCTCTACTATAAATAGAAAGAAATTAATTGGCCAACTGATATATATATATAAAAAATTAGCCGGGCATAGTGGCGCATGCCTGTAGTCCCAGCTACTCGGGAGGCTGAGGCAGAAGGATCACTGGAGCCCAGGAGTTTGAGGTTGCTGTGAGCTAGGCTGACGCCACGGCACTCACTCTAGCCTGGACAACAAAGCGAGACTCTGTCTCAAAAAAAAAAAAAAAAAAAAATATAAGGAATAAAAATCAGTAAGCCAGCATTCGTTAAGCACATACTATACAATATGATCGTTCATTTACATTTCTTCCTCTCCAAACATTAGTAAAAATAAAAAGACAGAAATTACATTTTTAGTAATTAACTGCATTCTTTATAGAACGGCAAAAAAACAAAAGTGGAGAAACAGTTGTCTTAAAATTGAAAGATTGCCCTTCAGGAGAAGACTTTAAGACTATGATGCCAGCAAGGTTTGATACTTTTCATTTTACTTTTGACTTTTTAGAGTTCAGCTGAAATTATCTCCAGAAGGTGGGATAAGTAATTATAATTGTGACCTCTGGTCTTTTTCTTTCTTAATTAAAAATAAGTAAGAAGCAAAACTGAATCTCTGTAGTCTCAGCAAGGGGAAAGTCTTTATGTGAGGGTAGTGAAGGAATGAACGCTTACTCATGCTAAAGAACACAGTATCTTGTTTGAGATGTTCCTTCTATTGGATTTTTTAATTTTGTAGTAGTTAAGGAAGCAGAATTGCTGTTTTAGTAAGTTTTTATGTTCATTTAAACCTTAAATGAAGTCAAGGAAAATGTTAACCTATTTTAAGGAAAGGTTGTCTGGTGTTTTGAACACATTGAAAATCATACATTTGAAAGCATGTAAAAGTGCAAATCTTTATTTAAAATAAGACAATGTTGTTATTCTTCAGATATGAAGATCTTTTAAAAAGTCTGCCATTGCCAGAATATTGTAATCCAGAAGGAAAATTCAATTTGGCCTCTCATTTGCCAGGATTTTTTGTACGTCCTGATCTAGGACCCAGGTTGTGCAGTGCCTATGGTAGGTATAAGTTCACATTTCTCCCAATTTGGAATTATATGGGATTTTAACAGATTTCTGTTCAAAAATAAATAGTCTAATGATTTTGTTTGTACTAAATCTTTTTATAATCCATTGAAATCCTTTTTTATATTAAGCAGTATATTAGGAATTAATGACCATTGTAAAGTTAAGTACCTGCTAACTGCTTGTAAAATAATTTATTATTGATTTTTAATAAGGCATTTTATAATATACATATAATTATAAAAATAATAGGACATTTTATAGATTACAGCTTTTAGTAGCAGAGTTTTGAGTTTTGTTTTGTTTTCTTTAGTGCCGTGACTCAGACAAACCATAGAGGCAGGTTTTTGTAACAAGGAGACTAAAACTCAAATTGCAATTAATTATGCCGACAGAGCTAATTTGGGGAGAATATCTGATATTATTAGATATGAAAAGTATTTTGTCAAGTTAAATTTTTGTTTTATACACAGGTGTAGCTGCTGCTAAAGATCATGATATAGGAACAACAAATCTCCATATTGAAGTTTCCGATGTTGTAAATATTCTAGTCTATGTTGGCATAGCTAAAGGAAATGGCATTCTCTCAAAAGCAGGTAATGAAACTTAATAGCAGTGTTTGGAATAAGAGTTGCATAATCACATACACTGTTATCATCCAGAATGTCAATCTCTGAGTTAACAACAAAGATTCAAAAAGAATTGCAATGGATATAGGGGCATTTTAATCATTATTACTTGAAGATTGATTTATTTTTCTGTCTCTTTTTCATATAAATGAAATTTTAGCATTAAAAGTAAATATTTTAATTTGCTCCCTTCCTTTCATTAAGTTATGGTGTTACAAAATATGCTGTTAAGCTCACTTGTAACATTTATTGAAGAATAGATAGTAGGTCCTAGGGCTCTAAAGATGATTAAGACATGGTTTGTGCCTCAAGCATTCTTTTTTCCCTCCAGTATCAGAGAACGGGCCTTTTCTCCTAAATAGAAGTAACTTTTCTATCTAGTACGTGGCTTTAGTTTCTATCCTTTGTATTTATTTCTGAAACCTTGCTCCATTAGTTATTCTCTTCTTAATAGAGACATATAGTTCATAGGTCTTTAACCTTTCCTCTCCACTGGCTTCTTCTCTTCAGAATAGGAGCAGAGTCTAGACTATATTCCTTTTCTTTTTTTTTTTGAGACAGAGTCTCGCTTTGTTGCCCAGGCTAGAGTGAGTGCCGTGGCGTCAGGCACCAGACTCTCACAAGGAGCACACAACCTAGATTCCTTGCATGTGCAGTCCACAGAAGGGTTCTCGCTCCTATGAGAATCCAGTACCACTGCTGATCTGACAGGAGGCAGAGCCCACGCAGTGATGCCAATGATGGGTAGCAGTGGCCAACACGGATGAAGCCTTACTCTCCTGCCCACGTCTTGCCATGCAGCCCAGCCCCTAACAGGCTATGGACTAGCACCGGACCTTGGCCTGGGGCTTGGGGAGAGCAGCCTTAACTGACACTGTTGATTAAAATAGATAACCACTTCCTCGCCTCCTGAAGAATTTGAGATAGTAGGCACACTTGAGTTATAGTCCCAGCTCTATTACACAAATGGATGGCCTATGGTTCAGATTCCTTTCTAAGCTTATGATACCACAGAGTTATCTTTGTACTTCATTTTGTACTTTGTTCAGATCATCCTCTACTGTATGGAAGTTACACCTCCTTTGCTCCATTGCTGTTCATTCATATCCTTAAATGCTGTGACTTTATTTGTTCCTGCACACCCCGAGCTCCTATTCCTAGAATAATATTTGATATTTTGAGAAAACTCAACATTTTAAATAATCCTTTGGCTCCCTTCTTCCCTCTTTTTATCTAAAAAATTTTTGTCACTTTTTAGAGGTGGTCGCAAAGAAAGCAACATTTTAGGATTATAATCATGCTTAAAATACATAGAGAAAAATTAACCTACTTAGAGTACATGACTTTTTCTCAACCTGCAATGGTTATCATACCTCCTTGTCTCCCTGGCAAACTCCTATATCCATTCTTTATTTTTATTTATTTGTTTATTTATTTTTGAGACAGAGTCTCACTCTGTTGCCCAGGCTAGAGTGTCGTGGCAATCAGCCTAGCTCACAGCAACCTCAGACTCCTAGGCTCAAGCAATCCTTCTGCCTTAGCCTCCTGAGTAGCTGGAACTACAGGCACGCACCACCATGCCCGGCTAATTTTTGATATATATTTTTAGTTGTCCAGCGAATTTCTCTCTATTTTTAGTAGAGACAGGGTCTCACTGTTGCTCAGGCTGGTCTCAAACTCCTGAGCTCAAATGATCCTCCTGCCTTGGCCTCCCAGAGTGCTAGGATTACAGGCGTGAGCCTCCGCGCCAAGCTGTAATTATCTGTTAAAGTTCTCATTCACCCTAAAGGTGTTCATTAAAAAAAGCAAACTTACTCTACTCTAGCCAATCATTCTCTTCCTTATGAAACCCTTCCTCACTTTTTTTTTTAGTTTGCAGAGCAATAAAATTTACATAGAAAAAAACTAGCAAAACCAATTCAGAGTTTCCAACTTTTATTTTTGTTAAGAATATACATTATAAGAATATCAACTGACATTTTTAAAGAGAACATTTAAAACTCTGCCCATATAAAAAGTATAATCAGAGTAAAGAATAGTTTTTTTATGATAAACTTTTTATATTCTTAATTTTCTTGTTTAGGACTAGGATAAGACTTTGTTGCAAATAGCATTTTAAGGACCGTGTGCCCTTTGTGCTGATAAGGTTACTCTTACCACAATGTGATGTTTATTTGCCTAGGTTTATTTATTAAGACCCTCTTTAACTCCATGAGGTCTTGGCAGGATCCTTCTTATCCTAGCATAGTGTCTGGCACACGGTAAACACTTAATAAATGTTTAAATTAAGAAATCCTTGCAGCCAAGTTTGAATATAAAAAATTTTTCTGTCACAAATTAGAAAACATCTGTTATATCCTTTGTAGCAAACAATAGCTTTCTTTTTATTTTAAAGGAATATTTCTTTAAAATATTTACTGTGGTGAAATCAGTGAAAAGGATGACCTTCCTATGGTTCTACACATAAGAGATAACCACAGTTAATAATGTTTTCATTGTGTACTTCCCAAATTTTTTGTGTATATTATATATGTAGAGTGCTTTTAATTTGTTAACATTTTACAAGGATGGCCTGATGTTTCCTCAAAACCACAACTTTATTCATGAAACATGATTACAGATAATAAAATATGAGATCCTCTAGGAGTTAATCAGAATACATTTTGCTCTGCCATTCATTAGTGATGGTAATGAGCAAATCCCTTCATCTCACTAAACTTTTTTTACTGAGGTATAAGAATAGAGATTAAGGCCGGGGTGCGGTGGCTCATGCCTGTAATCCTAGCACTCTGGGAGGCCGAGGCAGGTGGATCGCTCAAGGTCAGGAGTTTGAAACCAGCCTGAGCAAGAGCGAGACCCCGTCTCTACTAAAAATAGAAAGAAATTAATTAGTCAACTAAAATATATAGAAAAAATTAGCCGGGCATGGTGGCCCATGCCTGTAGTCCTAGCTACTCAGGAGGCTGAGGCAGAAAGATTGCTTCAGCCCAGGAGTTTGAGGTTGCTGTGAGCTAGGCTGATGCCATGGCACTCTAGCCCCGGCAACAGAGTGAGACTCTGTCTCAAAAAAAAAAAAAAATGGAGATTATGATCCCTACCTACCTTGCTAAATAGTTACAGGGCAGACTAATTAATAATGATCATAAAAGTCCTTTGAAGTTATGACATGCTATGAGTGCAAGTCATTGTTACGACCACCCTTTGGGACAGGCAGAGAGGTTGTTAAGTTTGAATAGAGGGTCTTAAGTTTTCTATGTCCTGCTCCTTGGTTTGCAGAAAACATAAACTGGGAAAGTCACTGTTGCTCTTTCCCCGATTCTCTTAAACAGTTCTAGCAGTTTTGAATATGTAACTGGATTTGACTCCTCTTTAAGAATACTGATTGAGTCAGGCACTCTGCTCCTCTGATAGGTCAATTTTAGGAGATTTGTCTTTCTGGTAGTCTTTACTAACCATTTTGAAAATATGCTCCTTTTTTTTTCAGGAATACTCAAGAAATTTGAAGAAGAAGATTTGGATGACATTTTAAGGAAAAGACTCAAGGACTCTAGTGAAATACCTGGTGCTTTGTGGCATATTTATGCTGGGAAAGATGTTGACAAGATAAGAGAATTTCTTCAAAAGGTACAATTTAGGTTGCATATAATTATCTCTTCACCTTGAACAAGGAATTATTAATTTGTTAATGCATCTTCATTCCGCATTTAGCAATAAAAGATCACTAAATAACTTTTACTTCAAGATAATGGGGGTTTGTGTTGAAAGTCAAATGCCCCTTTATCTTCCTTCTTTCTGAAAGCCTATTTCATGTTGAGGGTTTTGAGTGGCAGTTTGTTCTCAGTTGCTAGTGCTCTCCATCCCTTTGTAATAATAGGAATAATCTGGTGAGGAGCCAGATGTTAGTTAAGTAGGCAAAAGTAACTATTGTGAATTGCAGGATCTAACATCTAATGTTTCATGGGAACATCTAAAGAAGATAGACTCTATTTCCTTTGATTACAGTGATTCTGCTCTATCATATCTGATGGCTCTGTGCTTATTTAAGGAGACTGAAATTTAGAGTAGTCATAACTTTACTTCAGTTGTCGGACACTTTAATACATCAACCTGAAATAATCGATTCAAACCTTTTCCTCAAATATTTTCCAAATTTTGTAGTTATAGGGATTTCTTTTAATGGATCATTATTACTGCTTATGTTGTTGTACTTACATCTTTCTAGAAGGATTTAAGTTCTGTCTCTATGATCAGTCGGAAGTGAAGGAGCTATAGCCTTGTATACTACTACTATATTATCCCCAAATACCCAACAGTATTTTAATCTATTTTTATTAAATTTTTTTATAATGATTATTTTTTAAAATAAAATTTCTATTTTTTCTATGTGGCCTATAAGACAATGCCTAGGTATATTTTAATATAAAATATCATTTGTGCTTTAAGCAGAAAATTATTTCACTGATTAGTAAAAGGTTCCCTTCAAGTTGATTTTTCAAGGGTTAGTCAGTTAGCTATAAAAGGTTTTTGGTTTTTTTGTATCTTTTTTTGAGACAGAGTCTCACTTTGTTGCCCAGGCTAGAGTGAGTGTCGTGGCGTCAGCCTTGCTCACAGCAACCTCAAACTCCTGGGCTCAAGCAATCCTCCTGCCTCAGCCTCCCGAGTAGCTGGAACTACAGGCATGTGCCACCATGCCTGGCTAATTTTTTCTATATATATTAGTTGGCCAATTAATTTCTTTCTATTTATAGTAGAGACAGGGTCTTGCTCTTGCTCAGGCTGGTTTCGAACTCCTGACCTCGAGCTATCCGCCCACCTCAGCCTCTGAGAGTGCTAGGATTACAGGCGTGAGCCACCCCGCCCGGCCTAAAAGGTATTTCTTTTCATTTTTGGGGGGACAGAGTCTTACTCTGTTGTCCAGGCTAGAGTGCTGTGGCGTCAGCCTAGCTCAGAGCAACCTGGGCTCAAGCAGTCTTTCTGCCTCAGCCTCCCGGGAAGCTGGGACTACAGGCATGTGCCACAATGTCCAGCTATATACAAAGGTATTTATCTTTGTGCCTACTTTAGAACAAGGCTCTAGAATAGTTTTTATGAAATCCGTACATGTGAATGGTATGCCTTTTGGGGGAAAAAAACTGTAAACTACCCTTTTCCTCATCTATGTGCTATGCTCTTGAAACAATTATAAGGAAGGAAACTAGACGGATTGAAACTTCATAGTGAAAGGTGGTAAGAAGGAAGTAGGATTCAGTCTGTTAACAGTATTTCAGTGTGCTGTATTGTTTTAATATTATTTGGCTTTATAAATTATTGCCAAATGTTATTTTCAACTTATGAAGGTCAGTCATTGTTTTATGAGACTCTAACAAAACACTATGTTGTTATTGTAAATAAAATTGAAATTTAACTGAACGAAATTTATCATTTCCCTTATTTAAATTAGTCTGTATAATTTTATTTTAATCCACATTTCAGATTTCAAAAGAACAAGGCCTTGAAGTTCTACCAGAACATGATCCAATACGTGACCAAAGTTGGTATGTGAACAAAAAGCTCCGCCAAAGGCTGCTTGAAGAATATGGAGTCAGAACCTGTACTCTTATTCAGTTCCTTGGTGATGCCATTATTTTGCCAGCAGGAGCACTTCATCAGGTATATACAAGCTTATTTCTAATACATCTATTACTGACTGAACTAACTAATCTTGAAAAAGAAATTATTCTTAGTGTGGATATAAATGAAAGAAAACATAACAGAATGGCCTGTACCAATTTGCAGCTCCAGTGCTTGAATTATATAACTTGAAAGCTTAAATTGTTTTAATATTAGCCAGATTTCCATTTGTATGTTGTCTCTAACTTAATGGATTGAAATCTAATTTTTAAGACCTCTTTTAAGGGAACTAGAGAGTTAGTTACTGTATACTCATTCTCAGTGTGAGGTTTAAAAGTGTGTGTTAAGGGGCTGGAGTATCCAGACTTTTTATCGAGTTTTAAATGTACCTCCTGCCTCTCTTTAGCATGCGAAATAACATAGCAAGAACCTGTTGAAAGAAAGATGTTATGTAATTTATATAACTATTGATTCACAAAATTTAAAACTAAAATACCTAATTTTTGTTTCTGTAGCATGCCACATCTGGAAGAATGGGAAAGAATAGAAGGGGTGGGTATGGAGGGTGGGGTTAAAAGCACACAGTGTATTCCTATAGGTAGAATGGGGCTACCATCTCCCAGCATAGCCCTTGTTGTAACAAAGTGTGCCAGGGGAACTGGAGACCTCAAAAAGTTAGTTTGCCTCAAAGTTGGTTCCCCACCTTTTCCACCACTCTATAACTGAGATGTATCTGATGTGTATTTGTTTACCAAGGAAAATTTCTCATACTTAATATAACTGTATATGCAGTCACTGCCTGTTTAGCATTCATGAAACTACAATTCACAAATACTCCTTAAGTGAGAATAGTTGCCTAGTGTTTAGGATGTGTCAGGTTCACAGTCAGATTTCTCTTTCTCAGATCTCAAATGGCATTTATGATATAATAGTAAAATATAAATGTCATAATAATACTTTTTTCTCTGTAATAACTTCCTAGGAAAATCTATTTATGTTAAATGGTTATTTTTCCCATGAGCTTATGATCATTTCAGGGATGTTGTATCATTTATGATCCATGTTTAATTGGGATTCACCCCATGTACCATTTCTTTGACTTCTAGCAGCTTACCAAAAGGCAGCTACTTTGTATTTAAATGTAAATGCCCTCAAAAAAACAGCCTGTTTAAGAGAATATAGTGCTGTAAATTTTTTGTAAATAGGAATAATCCTTTGATCATAGAAAATAGACTCCCCTGAAAATCCTTATTCATATATTCAATTTATCCAGTATCAGCTTTCTTAAGTTAAACTGGACTATGCAGTCATTTTTTAAAAACTGAAGCATATAGTAAGTAAAATTTACCCTTTTTACTGTACATTTCTCTTAAGTTTTGACAAATACATAGTTAGGTAACAACACCACCATCAAAATATAGAAAAATTCTATCACTCAAAAATATTCTCTCCTGCACTTTTGTAGTTAGCCTTTTCAACCTTTTCTCCCAATGTTCCTGCAACCACTTACTCATTTTTTTGCCCTTATAGATCCTACTTTATGAGAATGTCATATAATTGCAATAACACAATATGTAGCCTGAGTCTGGCTTTTCTTAACATAATCCATTTGAGATTCATCCATGTTGTATATAACAGTTGATTCTTTTTTATTTCTGGGTAGTTAGTTCTATGAATATAAGAAACTGCCACTTCCTCTGCTTCTCTGATAAAAGATAAAAAAAATAATAATAATAATAAAAAAAAAATAAACTGCCAGGCTGTTCTCTGTTAAGTTGTTATATCATTCTAATTACCCAAGGGAGTGTTATGTGAGTTTCATTTCTTCTACTTCCTCTCTAGGACTTGTTACTATCAGTTTTGTTTTTAAACCAGTCTAATAAGTGTGCAGTGGTATTTCATTGTGGTTTTAATTTGTACTTTCTTAATGATTAAATGTTGAACACTTTTTAATATTTTTATTTGCCATCTGTACATCTACGTTGGTTAAATGTCTATTCAAATATTTGGTCCGTTTTTTTTAACTGCCTTTTTTCCCCTTGAGTTGTGAGTGTTCCTTATCTATTTCAGATACAATGACTTTATCTGATATATATTTTATAAATATATACTCTTTCTCTGTGGCTTGGCTTTCCAAAGAGCAGAAGTTTTTTTTAACGTGTCCAGTTGGTCACTTTTTCTTTTATGTATCATGCTTTTATTGTATCTACAAATTTTTTGCCTAGCCTGAGATCACATAGATTTTCACCTACATTTTCTTCTATAAGCATTACAGTTTTGGGTGTTACATTTGGATATGTAACTTAGTTAATTTCTGTATGTAGTAGTGCATAATATGGATCAAGGTTCAGTATTTTGCATATGGATATTTGGTTGTTCCAATATCACTTGTTGAAAGGCTATTTTTAAAATATTTTTTTTTTAGAATGTAATACATTCATATGATTAAACAAAAAAGTCACAACAGTATAAAAGGTTTCACCGTGAACATTCAGTCTCTCACCTTTGCCCCCAGTTCCTTTTCTCCAGAGGCAATCATTGTTAACCACAAAGAGATTCCATGGGTATACTTGTCTCCCTGCTGATTTTACTTTTTGGGAGAGGAGTGAGGGAAGAGATGAGCTGACTTTTGTCCAAATAGTAGGTACAAAATGATGCTGTTAAAAAGTTAAGTTAGTTTACATAACACTTTGCTAAAAGTCTAAAGGGCCCTAAGCAATCTGTACCTGTACCCTGCCCATACCTCACAGATATATATACACACACACCTCACTGCCTTCATCTCCTACTGCTTTCCTCCCAAATTTCTTTCTAGCCACTTTGCCCTCTTTGCTATTCTCACACAAACCGAGCAAGTTGCAAGTTGCCTCCCCAGGGCCTTTGTACTTGCTAATAGTTCTGCCTAGAATTCTTTTTTCTCTCAGATATCTGTAAGACTTGCTTCACATTCTTTAAGGCTTTGCTCAAATTCACCTTCTCAGTGAGGTCTTCCCTAATACTCTAGTTTAAATTACAAATTGTGTCCCTCAAATTTCTATCACTTTCCCTGCTTTATTTTCTTCCATTATAATCATCACCTTCTATTCTAATATGCTTTGTAATTTACTTGCTTTGTTTATATTGTCTCTAAACTCCACTAGAATGTAGGCTTCATGAAGTTAGAGATTTGTGTTTTTTATTGCTCCCTCCCCATGCCTAGAATAATACACTTAAATATTTGTAACTCTTGTCTTCTGAAGGCCTGATAGTATGTCCTAATTAACAACATAATTTTGCACAAGTGTAGATGGAAACAAAATTAGGGCTTTCTGTATTTTATATATACTGTGCTTTTTGTACAAACATGTAAATTTTGACCTCATTCTAGATGTATTTTCTCTGGCTACTTCAGAAAGTTTACATAGGTTGGAACCCAACTTCCAATTATGACTATATACACGTACACAGACACATATTTATATGAGACATGTTTTCATTTGAGATTTGTAAAAAATTCTATAGAAAGCAAATTTCATCTATGATAAAAAAAGATAAAATAAATAGGCAACGTGTATGAGTGTATAACCTGGACTGCCAAATTCTATTCTGGTGTCTGCCACTAAATTGCTGATTCAAAACAAAACTTTAACTTCTCTGCTCCATATTTTGGCACAGAAATTGCCAGCTATAAAAATAGGAATTTCTGCCTTCCCTCCTCTCTGTGGTATAATAATGACAGCAGTTCTTTTGTACTCTGTTGAGAGGGTGTTGTCTGTGACTCACAAGTGGTGGTAATGTGGTTTTGTGAGAGAATTCAAAGGAAGTGATAAATCTGTTCACAGTATTAACTTAGATTTGAAATGCATTATTATTTACAACCTGTTCAGGTCTTAGAAGTTCTATAAACTGTTCATTGATGGCTTTAGCACTTCCAGTAGACTACAGATGGCTCTCAGAATAATTCCAGATAAGTCAGTTTTCTCACACTTCCGTATACATTAGAATTTTCCAGAGGGCTTGATAAAACACAGATTACTGTATCCCATCCCCAGTGTTTCTGATTCCATAGATGTGAAAAAGGACTTGAAATTTTCCATTTCTAGCAAGTTCCCAGGCTGATTTTACTGTCCACGAACCACACTTTGAAAACCACTCAAATAGGAAGCCCTTGAAAACCCAAGATACCTATCAAAAAAATTTTCTACCGAAGAGGCCAATAATAAGTGTTAGGGAAGAAACAATATTCTGTTCTTTAGCCTGTCAACAGGGAGCACTGCCAGAAGCCAAACTTGAGAGGAGTGGGCTGTGTCTGCAAGGGAGTGCAGATTCATATCTTAGCAAGCTGAGGGAAAGAAAGCATCATAGCTACCCCCCGTTTACATACTAAGAACTACCCTGGAACTGCAAACTTTTTTTTTTTTTTGAGACAGTGTCTCGCTTTGTCGCCCAGGCTAGAGCAAATGCCGTGGCATCAGCCTAGTTCACAGCAACCTCAAACTCCTGGACTCAGGCAGTCCTCCTGCCTCAGCCTCCCGAGTAGTTGGAACTACAGGCATGCGCCACCATGCCCGGCTAATTTTTTTCTATATATATTAGTTGGCCAATTTCTTTCTATTTATAGTAGAGACAGGCTGGTTTTGAACTCCTGACCTCAAGCGATCCGCCTGCCTCGGCCTCCCAGAGTGCTAGTATTACAGGCGTGATGGAACTGCAGACTTAAAAATCTTCTGTTGGTAAATACGATTCAGTATGTGAAACCTCTGTATATCCTTAGGCAGAGCAGTTGGACCCTGGCCTCTAGGATTTAATTCGTCTCAGCTGTAGTAGTCTGAGATTTAGAGTGGCGTTTATTTATAGAACAGCAACAGATTTTTTAAAATTAACACCAAACCTTCAGTGAATTTGCCCTAAACTGCTTGGCTTAATTGATTTTGTTTGGTCATTCATAGAGAGTTTGTAATATTTTAAAGCTACAAATTCTCAGCATTTGTATTATCAAAAAGAGTTTTAGGCAAAATCTTTCCACACTAAGTTCTCACAAATAGCTGAGTATATAGCAGTCACATTGTCAAGATATTAACCTTCCTACTATAAATACAAATTATATTTTCTTAACATTAACTATTTATGATTATAACTGATCCTTTAGGGCAAATGTGAATAAGACAGCATCAAGGAAGTGAAATATAAATGACTCAAACATGGCAAACAAAAAGGATAAGCGGAATGGGAAGTTCAATTCCCATGGGAAGTTCAGCTTTAAAACTGAACCTTGCCTTTTCAAACTAACCCTCAAGACTTTAAGCAAAATATATCAGATGGGGGTCATTAGGAAATATAATAGCATCTTATAAGCACTAATATAGGTCTCACTATTCTAAAAGTCATTTTAGAACAACCATAATCTGGCAAAGATTGACAGAATGAAAAAAAAAAAAAAAGATTGACAGAATGAACTTTTTCAGACCTCTGGAATCTAATCCCAAACTTAAAGCAACCAGGAGACTGCTTAATGAAGAAAAGGGCAGCCAGTTTGGGGCATTTAAGGAAATCTTTGTTAGGTCACTGGCTGACCGCTGAGATAATGGAACAGACTTCAGTGACCACACCCAACAAGGAATAACAGCCTTTGCAAAAAGTTTGGAAAAGTCACTAACCAAATGGACGGACTGCAGCCCTCAGCAATCAACAACAGCAGACCCTGAGGCAGGGGGAGAATCTGATTACCGGAGTTATTAACACATTGTAATGTTCAGACGCCCAGTTTTCAACAAAAAAGTACAAGGCATACCCAGAATGAGGAAAGTATGGCAAATTCAAAAGGGAGAAAATAAATTGACAGAAACCTTTCCCAGGAAGCCTAGACTTTGGATTTACTAGACAACTTAAATATGCTGAAAGAGCTAATGGAAACCAGGAAAATGACGGATGAACAAAAGGAGAAATCCATAAAGAGAAATTATAAAAAGGAACCAAATAGAAATTTTGGAGCTACAAGTGATTTTAGGACATGCTAGAGCTAGAGATACCAAAAGGTAAATGCTAAAACTTTGGAAAGACTTACTCTCCCCACAGCATGTTCAGATAAATGAAAGACATAAGGAGAGAGAGGGCATTTGGAGACTGTGTATGCTGGTATGAGAGGACTTTTAATGTAGGACTGTAAAGCATCTATTAGACAAGACATCACAGGAGTTGGGCTCCTGTTGACTTGCCATTTATTGGCTGATTTGTCTTGGGACAGGCGCTGAACATCTCATCCATACTTTCCTGCTCTGTGAAATAGAGCATCTGTTCTACAGACACATAATGAAGAGCCAGTGAGACTGTACAGATATGCTGAAAATGTGAGGCATCCAGTATGTTCATCCACCAGAGGAACCAACAGCCTAATGATTAAAGAAAGAGAATGTTTACTTTACTATGCTACCAAGTTATCAATAGAGGCACAGTGCTTCTTGAGTTAAAGAACTCTGCAGACTTCAGCAGCTGTTCAGGTGGTCATTATGCCCAGAGGAGGAATTCTGACTTCTCTGGAATTCCATCACCCTCTCATCAAGTAGATTTTTTTTCCCCCACAGTCTCCATTTCCCACTTACTATCTCTTTCATCTCACTCCTCCCAGTTAAATTTATTTTGCATACTTTAAAAAAATTAGAATAAATTTAAGTGCTCAGTTTTTTCAGTTGTTTCTCCTTTCCCAGGAATTTTTATGATGTTTTTAAAGTCACTAAAAGACAACCTAGAAACACCACAAATCTAAGATTGGATTGGCTTGAATCTTCCTCTGTTCTGCTTAGCATCAGTACAAAGTAGTTCTAAGATATAGTAAAGTGCAAAGTCAGTTTGTAAATGCTGAACAAATAACAGATAAAGACTTAACTGGCTGGATTCCTGTGAAAAGCATTTAGGAGAGAGAAATCAGTATTGTACTGATGTCATAGGAGATTGAAGGGATTATCTTTAATTGGCTAATTTGAAGATAGTCACAAAAGAAAAGAAGGCACAAACAACCAAAATCCTAGGATAATTCTGAAACTTAGTTGTGGTCAGTAGATCTGTCTGGAACTATATTGTTTATCCCAGTTCCTAAAAATCTAAGTTTTATTTCCTTTTCTTTAATCTGTTCTCTAGTATATGAGTTAACAGTGAAATGATCAAGATGCTGAAAGCCACAGGAGCAACAAGGAACATACTCTGATTGCCTGGTAGATTCTTTCCAGTTAGTCGGTATTTAAAGTAATACATTAAATAAAAAAGGTCCACTTTGACAAAATTGACAGTTTAGGATCTGATTATTAGCCTCTTCAAAGGATTCCTGGAAAAGTTATTTTCTTTTTATCATTGAAAAATATTCCATTTACAAAGTCACTTTACATGAAGCTTTTCAGTGACATGACTTTCTCATGAAGTGGTCTTCTGCTTTGAAATCCATTTGATGTTTTATAGAAAATAAATTATCTAGTAGGATTGTTCCTGTGCTTGTAGGTTTTAGATAACTTAGCTTTTCTTTGTTCCCACCTCCTAAAATTTATATTTCGTTGTTTTTCTTTTGGGGATAGGTACAGAATTTTCACAGCTGTATTCAGGTAACTGAAGACTTTGTGTCTCCAGAACATCTTGTAGAGTCATTTCATTTAACACAAGAACTGAGACTTTTGAAGGAAGAAATCAATTATGACGATAAACTACAGGTAAGAGATGAGTATTCTAACTACTAGGTCCTGTTCTGCAGGCTTTTTGTATTCAAAAATATGGTAGGTGCATAACAGCTTAGATAGCCACTGCCTATTTGGTCCCACTAGGGTAACAACCAAAGATGCATTTAATTATATGAGTTTTAGTGGCCCTTATTCTAACTATTGGTTTAATAACACTTTTAAACTTTGACATTTTTCTTAAATTTGGCTTTCCTTGGTCCCCATAAAAATTGTTATTTTTTTTAATTTGGCAGTTATTGTTTGTTAATTTCTGGTCAGCTGATGTGATTAGAAATATCAACATCTCTTTCAGGTTAAAAATATCTTGTATCATGCAGTCAAAGAAATGGTGAGAGCTTTGAAGATACATGAAGATGAAGTAGAGGATATGGAAGAAAATTAAGTATAGCTCATTTTGATGTTTTTAAGCAGTTGAACTGGGGTTACTTACCCTTGAATAATGATATGTATGCACACTGACTTAAGCTTCATAAAACCATCAGTGCCAAGAAATTCTCTTTGTAGTAATTACTTGTTACTGACACCGCAGCAGTATAGCATATGTCACAGCTCCTGTGAGTCAATGTTAGTTATAAAACAAGCTAAATTTAAACAGCAGCACTATATAGCTGTTATTGTATTATAGTGTATATGATATTTGTGAAAATGCCAGATTTAAAATGATGTATTTATTTTTGGTAAAAAATACAAAATTCTATGCTATATTGTTGATCAAGTGTAAATGTGACCTTGTACAGTTTACTAAAATAACTGATATTTTTCACTACATCGAGACAGTTACTGTGAGAATAGGACACAAACACCAGCTATTGCCTGCGTTTGGGAAATTGCTGAATCGCACAGCAGTCATGTCATAATCAGAAAATTACTGCCAAATAATTGTAAAATCTGTAAAATATAAAGTATATAAAGTAGATACTAAATACAGACACTTCAATATTTTGTTGAAGCTATTGACTGTACAATTAAACATTTTCAAAAGGTGTAATTTATTTAAAATTGTCTCATTTTGGTAAAATTTATGTGACTTTTAAAGCTAAATATTAAACTTAATATGCTATGTAAATATATACATATATACATTTAATGATGTATTTTTTTAAAACATTGGCTTGCTTTTGTTAAAGTGCAAGTGTTACATATGGCTTTGTACATTAAAGTTAAAAGGGGTTTTACATTTTCCATTAAAAAGACTTTATCAAAAATTGGCTTGTTCCAGAGTTCTCCCTTTTTTGACATACATACTACTGGGGACAGAGAATATCCTGCATTCAGCCTGGGTTTGAATATGAGTTCTGCTACTGACTGACCTTGGCAAGTTGTTTTCATTTGGGCTCTAGGTTTTAATAGCTAGCTACTATTAAAAATCACTTGGTTGCTTGAGGCTCACACATTCCTAACCCTTTGAGTTACTGGAAAAATATAGGCATCCACTGACACCTACGGGATATTAAAAGGACAGCCTTTCCTTCTTATCTGAAAGCATACAGCTTAAGAGAAAAAAGTAGTAGCCAAGGTTGTGACACCTTGCACGTTGCTTAGTTTTTATCTTGGTTTTGCTTGTGTCCACCATCATTTAGCTCCATGTAGTCCATTATGCCATCTTGCACTTCAAGTAAGATTCAAAAAGGAATGTGAGCAGTTACATTCACGTTAATACCTTACACCTGGCACACGGGTTAATGAGATGGATGGTGACAACTTGGCTAGGAAAAAAATGGGGGCTGGGGAATATTTAAATGATTTTTGTGAGCCACTTATGAGCTTTTTACTTTTTAATACTATTTTACCCAAATGTGCCTCAACTGATTAAATGGTTTCTTTCACCTACTGCTTTCCTATGATCCATCTGATTTAATTTTGATGTTAAATTAGTTTACAGCCAAGGCATTAGTTCTGGAGTAGACCAGTGGTCCTCCGAAGTATGCTGGAAGCCCAAAGTCTATGGAGATTTTCTCCCAAAATGTTTTTGCTTCTCTTGCTCTTGCTCAAGCCACATCTTAACCACACTACAACCCCTTCAGAATAGCTAGAGCTAAGGAAGGAAGTTCTACTCAGGCAGTGTGGCTTCTTTCAGAGCAAATTTACCTGATAGTATTCTAGCCATAGTCTGAAGAATATTCTATTCTTGGTCTGAAATTCCATGCTAATTATCTAATTCTTGGTAAGCCTGGCTTGAAGAGAGAGAACTGTAATGTTTACATCATAAAAGACCTAGGTAGGCTTTTTGGAAAGCTGGGGAGTTGTATTGCTGATTGCTCCCTAATTACTGGCGCCCTCCTCTGACCATTTACCTTGTTTCCTCCATTCTTTTGATTGCTCGGATGCTCCTCACCTATGAGAATGTCTGAATATGTCAGCTTCCTCCAGACAGTGGCATGCTAAGTATTAATGTAAATGGATACGATAATTTGAGAAATGTCAGGGAGCCTTTTTAAAGAGAAACTTGTGAATATTTAGGTCCTTCTCATTCTAGTCTATAATGTTGTTCATACTTGAACATGGATTCCTTTTCCTGAATAAAATTACATATGTTCAAATCCATTTCTCTTCTACCAGACATTTTGAGATTGTAGCTCTCATACAAATCAGTATCTGCTTTCCTATTCCTTTTTTGGTACATAGGATATTGGTTTAATTACATCTAGGTAAGATTAGTAAGCTTCAGAAGAAAAGTTCTGTCATACTTTTGCTTTATGTGTTGCTTTATGTGTTTATCAGTTGATCGATGGACACAGCATATTTTATCTCTGGATGTCAACCTGTCCAAGATGCTGTCCCAGACAAGATCAGTGATTATGGGAGAGGAAAAAAAAACATGATTAATTACTATTCTACAACTATTTAATATAGTATTCATTATGAATTGGGGTATAGCAAGTTGGCCAAGATACAAAGCTATGTATGCCAACAGGCCTGTCACCAAGATTGAGACTCAGACCTTTCTTAACTACAAAAGTTAAGACATCTCAGGTTTGCAATAATTACATTAACCTAGATATTTATGCCCTGAAATCATATAAAAAATGTAGGCAAAGTACTTTGACTCCCACAGTATTCATTAATCTGGTTCTTTTTTTTTTGAGACAGTCTCACTGTTGCTCAGGCTAGAGTGAGTGCCGTGGCGTCAGCCTAGCTCACAGCAACCTCAAACTCCTGTGCTCAAGTGATCCTTCTGCCTCAGCCTCCCGAGTAGCTGGGAATACAGGCATGCGCCACCATGCCTGGCTAATTTTTTTTTTTTTTGGTATATATATTTTTACTTGGTCAATTAATTTCTTTCTATTTTTGGTAGAGATGGGGTCTCACTCAGGCTGGTTTCGAACTCCTGACCTTGAGCGATCCGCCCACCTCGGCCTCCCAGAGTGCTAGGATTACAGGCGTGAGCCACCACTCCCGGCCCAATCTGGTTCTTTTAATGAAAGTTAAGTGACTTTTGAACAAAAATGAAATGTTGGCAGTTTCACATCACTGGCTGCAAACAAACTTTGAGTTCCATTTCTTGGCTGGAGAGGTTTTTCACAGCTGACTTCAGCTTCTCAGTCAGCTCTTGGTAAATGAACCATTCAGTTGTAGCGAAGACTAGAGGATTGCTCTTTTCTGTGTCTTAATTGTGGAAAAGAGCTCAGCTCGGGGGCCAGTGGACCAACGACATGTGTGCAGGGGATCAACTGGATTCCACTTGAAAGGCGGTACATTATGAGGACAAGTGAAGAGTCCAGCACTACCTTCCTGCCCACTAGTCTTTAATCCTAAGTTTCACAGATGATGAAAGATGTGGAGAGCTAGGTGAGTGAACATATACAAATGAAGGAGTACAGCAAATTGGGGCTGTTGCAGAATATGAAACAAACACTGGATCAAGGTATATTGTACAGGTTTGGTTTTAATAAGTGCAAGGAGTTAATGGTAAAGGGGATGCAGGTATCGCTGCTTCCAGCCACACATGCCTTGCAAAGGCATCATAGTTACAATATGGGGATATCAATACAGGATAGAACTACAATTTATTCCGAAGCATTTATTGAACACTTGTTAAGTGTTTGGCACTGGTGATGAGATGGTCAAAAAGACAGTATTGTGCCATATATGCTAAATACTATGTTACAGGTATATACAAGTATTTGGAAAAGGTATAATTTTGTCTGGGGTTAGGGAAGGCTTCAGAGGAGGCAGTATTTGCACAACTCTTCAAGTAAGAGAAAAACGGGACAGCAAATGTGGCATATTATTTAGATTGCCTTTTAGCCATTTTCCGTAAACACAATCAGCAAACTGAATTTATAGCCAACCTAATATTATGTTTATTTTGTCCCCTAATTCTTTGGAAATGGGTAATCCATGTGTGTCATGATGCATGGGAACTTTTCACCAAAAATTTTTGAGTAACTATAATTTACTCCTATTTTGACAGAAACAAATTATGTTGAACAAGAAATAATATTTTGTTAAGCAAACATTCCAGATAGAAAAGTAAAAGGCCAGTCTATGCAACCTTTAACAAAAGGAGATTTGGGCCAGGCGTGGTGGCTCCCGCCTGTAATCCTAGCTCTCTGGGAGGCCGAGGCGGGCGGATTGCTCGAGGTCAGGAGTTCAAAACCAGCCTGAGCAAGAGCAAGACCCCGTCTCTACTATAAATAGAAAGAAATTAATTGGCCAACTGATATATATATGTAAAAAAATTAGCCGGGCATGGTGGCGCATGCCTGTAGTCCCAGCTACTTGGGAGGCTGAGGCAGTAGGATTGCTTGAGCCCAGGAGTTTGAGGTTGCTGTGAGCTAGGCTGACGCCACAGCACTCACTCTAGCCTGGACAACAAAGTGAGACTCGTCTCA